CTCGAAATTACAACTTGGCATCGCCGCATCTGTGTATAGAAACTATCGTCCAAGTATCTGTAGAGCAGCAGAATAGCGTGTGGAATTAAATATTTAAACATCTTTCCAACTAAAAAAGGAATGTCGCGATTGGCTAAGACTTCGTGATTGTCGTCGCTTCAATTATAATATAATAATATTGAATAATAAAGCAGAATATTAATCCGCGCCGATATCTCAGAATCTCGATCAAAACATTTTTTAGTGGTAGCATTTTCGGATACAGCAAATAAACTTGTCCAGCTTCTGTGTCTGCGGTTCATAGCCTATAACAACTATAAAAGCATATATATATAGCAAAATGTACCTTGCTTTTGTTCATGCCGACATGGTGTCGTTGTATTAAAAGTCCTACTTGTGGTATTCCGACAAACGCATGTCTATACACTCTTCACGGCTTAAATTGCTCGTATTTTTAGAGTATTTTGGGAAACCGGGATCAATGAAGCGATGGTTTTTAGCTTTCTTGCATGACACAAATAGTGGAAATGGCATATTACGAAAGATTTATTTCAAGCCCAAATACGTATTTTAAGTTCTAAATTGTTCTTGTAAATAAAAGTGGTTTGTTGTACATCAGAAAGATTATTTTGGCAACACATGCCAAAAATATACTATGTTAAAAACAAATCTGATACATATATATATCCTATTCTAAAAAAGTTTTATACTTTACACAGTGAAATCTATAGAAATCCTTCAATATAGAATCGCATAAGGTAGAAATACAATATATCATTATTTTAATCAGTTTTGACACTGCCAACAACATGCTGATTAAAAAGAGGCTTCTTTCAATTGATTTCCATTTGTTATTTTAAAAATATTATCTATCTGATATCTATCTTTATTGATATTTTATATTTTTATATATATATTATCTCAAATATTTCTCAAGCCATTAAATAGCGTTCATTGATTTCTACGTTTTCGCAATAGCCTTATCGGCCTATATGTAAGTAAACTTACGTGTTTCGAATCTATTTTATGACACTGACTCAGAAATCAATGTAGTTTCCAATGAAATTACTTTTAATTTGTTATTAAACTTGTATTCTTTTTATAAGTGAACGTGACTCATCTTTTATGAAGCGAACAAATAAACGAATATAGAAATGTGCTCTATTAATATCGTATTATTGGTCTTCTGGTCCCACCATATTGAATTTGTCACATGTCTTCCGCGTTAATAAATAAACCTGACGCTTTGAGCACGGTTGCTCCAGTCTACGATATACTTAAATGGATAGATCAAAAATTAGAGTTCTTAAATATATCATATGTAATTATATATTAAATTGTGTCAACTAAGAAGTTAGAATAGCTTATTCAAACGAATATCATATTATGCTAATACGCAACCAATGATAATGCCGTTACGCTTATGCCAGCTAGTCTTAATGTTTCAATCTGTTACCTAAATTTAGTTTTGTTGTATGGGACTATCTTCATCTTTTTTGGATGCCACTTTTGTTACATACATTCAATCATCTGCTATATACATAGTACGATATTTTGAGGCGATGTCCAGGTATAGATCATGTTAGACAATAATTTTAAGCTTTGTAATAATGAATCACTTCTGTTATCATCGGACTTCATTCGTGTCTCACAATCGAATCTAAAAATGGATTTGTCGTTTCCAAATCTTTTGTTTCCTGGGCGAAATGACGCAAAATCCGTAAAACGAAGGGCCCTTCGTATTTCAAGGGTCCTGAAGTGGAAGCATACCATAAATAAAAGAAAAAGAGGTGTAATACTGGCGTTTTTACAATAATCCTATCAAGACTTGTATTATCTCGCTCAGACAATGTCTGATCTCTAAATATATAACACTTTTGGTATTTAAACTTGTTTGAGTTAGTTGTTACCCAAGCGTATTTCAGTGATAATTACCAATCTATCCTAACACGCATTGCTACTTATACCATCTGTACGGATTCAAAGTGGAGACGACGATGACATTTTTCGGATATTCCAGTCTCGATCGAGAGAACGTGTAATCGTTCATCCGTGACTGATGACGTCGCAAGTGTTTCAGGTTTCTCGTTTTCACTTCGATGCGATGACCTAAAGCTTGAGCACCTTACAGTTTCTTCTCATTTTACTTTGTATGCGTCACTGTGCGGTACGGCTGGCTAAATGTTAAAATTGGCTTGACCGTATTTTTACTTTTTTGAGGATATACTTACTGCCAGCGTCTTCATTTTATTTACTCAACTAAAGAATTAGTGACTGTTATTATTATATGTTCCTGAATTTTATTAACGTTTCGGAAAGGATTTATCCAACTTCTGACATGGTGCAAGCTTGTGCAAATAAGGTCGGTGTAAGAATTCGTTTGTTTGTATATTATACTATTTTAATCGTACGGATAACGTTAAGGAAGACACACCGTTTGAACGAAATGAAAATGGCGAATTTATAGAATCAGAAAACCGAGGTAGAACCAAATGTTATTTTCGCGGATAGTACTAGATAGACGGAAAGAATCAATCGGAGGAGGCGTTCTAAGAGCAAAACACTGATGTTTAATTCCATGTAGGAATATATTCATGGTCGGAAAAACCATTACGACCACCGACCAAGTATATAAAATGCAATATATGCTAAACTATATAATGCTTATTTGTCACACGCAATCCGAATTTAGATCAATGTTGTATTACGGGTTCTTGTCCGTCCGATGTTGTTACTGGTACATTTGGTAGTCAGCGTCTTAGTAGGCCGTTTTTGTTTCATATTTATAATTATAGAACTTACTTATGGTCCGTGCCGATTGGACTCTACCACTGCGAGTCCATCAGTGTAGTATTATCTTTTTTAGTGGGGAAGAATCGGTACAGCCAGGTAACGTTTCCCAAGCTTGCGAGTTAAAATCATACCAAAGTGGTCTGCCTCGCGATAATCTTATATTATTCTTGCTCATAATCGGCCCACATACAGTAAATAACAAAAAAAAAACGTACGTATAGATAATTTGGTATCATATCAGTTTTTAAACGCTAAACGACATTGGCAGAAGGAGGGCGTTTGAGTCATATTTAAACGTAAGCGTTAATATTGCTAAGTAAAACACTGTCGTAGTTATAATAACGCCGAACCGAAATATTCTAAGTTACTGTTCCATCAGAGTACGACACAAACGAAGTCGTGTACTAGAATTTTCGGAGTGAGTATTAAATGCAACGAAACTGCAGAATTTTTTGAGCCTATATGTATACTTATACTTGGTGGTCGTTTTGTTATTACGCTGACGTGTCTATTGCGAAACAGATGATGTAAACGGAAGGTTTACATTGCTGTTAGCACCTTTTTTATTCCTTCAAATAGTAAATGTATTTCTCAACTCTATGTAAGCACAAAAAGCAGGGGTTTAAATTCGGGAAAAAGTTTCATTTGATTCTGAGCCATTCAAAAAACGGACCTCGGAGTAGAAAGTGACAATTATTTGTGTGCTCTGTCGGAGAATCGTTTTGAAATATTGGAAAAGAGTCGGAAACAGGAGTATTCTACGAATTTGTTCATAGTAATCATCCTTGCCTGGTGCCCATCGATTAAGCCAATTATTACTGAATGGTTCATTCTTATTCAGAGTCGATATCGATCGACTCGGATCCGTTACAGATTGCCTTTCCTAACAACACTGATCGTTGATATTTAAGATAATTTGTATAACAAATTAACAATATTGCCGATTTGCGAAATATGTCTCTGTAGAATTTCGACATATAGGACTCTTAATATTTGATCATCATATTTTTGTTTTGTATTGTATTTACGCAATTCGGCATTATGAGAATAGCTCTGATATACGTGTGTGTCTTGTGATTAGAACGCCGACTAGTGAAAACCAATTTTGGTAACTTCTGCGTCTAGGTAGCTTGTTTGGTCTACTGTTGTTGAAATCATCAACAGTGCGAATTACATGTGGGGAATTGTTGATTATCTTTTCTTTTTTTTTAATTTCGTTATAACCTTTTCGTGTATATGACACTCAGTACACAGTACACTCCATATTAACACGGTAATGACAAGCGGAAGGCGCGTCATTTTTCATCCGCCTATTATGTTATGATAACACTGGTATTTTATGCGCGTAGGACAGGGAAACGGATATCTATTTTTTATGATAAATATTTATTGCGTGTGGAAAACTTTTTTTTGGAATTGCCTGTTTGGCTGGGTGGTTTGCCTTGTTTTCTTCCAGATATCGAGTAATCCGATTATGAAACATAAAACATTGCATATAGTAATTTCACGTTATATATGACTCACAAAATCAAATCTCCTTTTTCCGCGGGTTTCTTTCTAATCTAGAGTTTTATACTCCATTCATTTTGTTTATTTGATAATTGTACGGTGTAATTAAGTCGATGATCGGAAATTATCGTTTACGGTAATTTGTAATCCATTATCAAATTCGCTTCCGCCATTTTGTTCTCGAAAGACAAATTTTGAAGTTTAGTTCAACTACCCAAATTGTCATCGATTTTAATCGATCATTAAGTTTGTAATTTGGCAAACAAAAAATTGTACATTTGAAGCAAGATGCAAAAATATGGGACTTCTTTATGGGGCTAACCTTGTAATGCTTGTGATATTTTACCTACCACGGGCTGGCAAATCATTTTAGCTGACGCACGTCATCTAATAACCAGGCTCGCGTGTCAGTCATTATGCCCTCATTTTACTAATGAGGTCAGTAATATCCGATAATTATTTGACCTTTTGTGTATGTTTAGCCAGTCATGGTCCGTCAATAAAAAAAAGTGTAAAAAAAACTTTTTTCGGATTTTCTGTAAAGTAGTTTGTTACCGGATCTAATCTTATTATGTATAGTCAATCCTAAGATACCCAAGATGACGTTGTGGCGAGTATTGAAATTTGGAGTCAATATAAGAACATGTTATTGAGAAATATTGCATGACTAACAATATTTGTTCTTCTATATATTTCAGAATATAAAAGACGACGGAACACATTCCTGGAGATTGAAGCATTTTACGTCACCATCTTATTGTAACTTTTGCCTCAACATGTTGATAGGCGTCGGAAAACAAGGTTTATGTTGTACATGTAAGTGCGGTTTACAAATTTCTAGCTTACAGAACTTTCATTCAAAACAAGATTTCGTCATAACTACACAAGATATTCCTATACTATATCAACATAGATAGAATTTAGATTCGTGCATTCTGGCTTATAAAACTGTATGAGGAATTTTCCCTGTTTAATCGTTGTATATAAGCGAAATATGGAAATACGATTCCAGCTCCGACCTTGAATTATTCTTTTACAATATGTCACCAGGCATGAAAATAACCTACTTTCATCACACGATGTAGTTATTATCACCCAATGTTAATGTTGTCCTATATCTATTTTCAATAAAAGCGATAGAGTCGATTGTAATGCACTCCTTGCCTAAGGTTGCAAGGATTTAGGATACTGTATTACGAAAATTTCCGTAATTCAGAATTTAATACCAATTCTAAAATTGTGACTTTACTTCCGAACGTGGGATCTATTTTTAAATACACTATAGAAATAATTCAGTCTATTTACTAGATTACAATAGTATTCACTTTTATTAATAAAATTACAACCATAGATAATATGTATACCAAGCCTGGTCGGCACATGTAAATACACTACATGTTTATCCATCACAGAATAACTCTGAATTACGGATTAAATTTTCCTTATCTTATACTGGTATTTCATGATGTGGACTAGATTGAGTAGTTTTATGACAAATAGGAATTTTTAGGTAAAAAAACAATGAAATCGAAAATAAGTAACTGGTTATGTGCGCCTAAGCCCTAGAGGGATATTAGAAGGCCAGGTTCATTTTATATATTTGGACATGAATGGTTCGACGTATCATTCGGTATTTACATGTCGATGTACGCAGTCGATTATCGCTATTTTAGAGACCGTCATAAGTAGAAGTTTTTACATGCACAGATGTAACATCCTCTTTGCTGTTAAAAGTAAAATATATTTCAACCGTTTTACAGTTAGTGAAATGAATAGATACAATCCACTAACCGTCCACTAAAACCGTATGTGCAATCGAATTTCAAAACTACTTGTTTCATGTATGATTATAATCAGTGCTTCTAATTTAAGTCTTCATGCTTAGTTCCATTTCTTTGTTATTACAAAACTTTGCCAGGTTTCTTGTGTGATCATTTCCATTTTGTAGTATCATAATTTGAAAACTCTCATAAAACGTCATCGTCGAGCGCTATTTTTATGCGTTCGGTATTGGTTGACATTACGGAAGTAGTATTAATTCCTTGTTTGGATATGGATTACAAAGCTTATTTTCCGAATGAAAGGTCGTTTGCTATGTTACAATAATGCAATGTTCGTCGCACTTTTCTGTTTTTGTTTTACTTTGTTTTTCGAATCATGTCGATTGCGTCGTCACCAAAAATCAAATTCTGTTTTAATAAGTATCGTATGATGTTTACAACATCAAATATTTACGTTAATGCTCTTTATGTTTCAGTTTGTAAATACGCAGCACATGAACGATGCGTCAGTAGAGTGCCGTCAAATTGCATCCATACGTACGTCAAGTCAACCAGAGAATCAGCGGTAAGTGAATTTTCGTTACGTATCGTTGTTTGTTGATGACGTAAATGGTGTTGTTTATCATTTTTGTGCGTGGAAAATTGAATAATAATAATAATAATTTTTTATTTCAGAAACTAAACCATTTTTGGATAGAAGGAAACAACGCAGGTCCATGTGATAAATGTAAGAAGCCAATAAAATCGTATCAGGGTCTGACGGGCCTACATTGTAGATGGTGCCAAGCAACGGTAAGTTCACCCCTAACAATTACGTTTTGGTAATATTGGGTATATATCGGCCTGTTGTACTAGGATTTTAATCGTGCGATGACGGCAGAATAAAACGAAAGTATGGATGTTAGAATCTTGCGTTGCTTTCAAAAATCTTCAAGTTCCTTTATTGAAATGATGTTTTGATTATTCATAACATATTTTATTTCAGTATCACAACAAATGCGCTTCACATATCCCACCTGAATGCGACCTAGGAAAAATGAGACAGCACACATTACCACCAACCAGTATCTACCGGGTGTTTTGGTAAGTTTAGTTTATTTTTATTTAATTCATCATACTTTCATACTTTCGTTGTTAGTATTATGTTAATTTTTCATATATACGGCATTATACATACGTAAATGGAATCGAATTACTGTTATATGCTGTTTCAGTTTGTTATGGGATATAGAATTATAGAGGATTTCGATATTAATATTATATTACAATCCACGTTGTTTTTAGGAAAGACAGAGCCGGTCTAGAGAGAACAGCTCAAGCGAAAATTTACAAGATGGCCAAGGTTTGTGACTTAGTGACACTATTGCATTTTTTCGACTTAGCTTCAATGAACCAACCTTATGGTAGTCGTCTGAGTTCGGTTTGAACGTCGAAATATCTTTCCGCGTGCAAATGCTGACCTTCACGAATAGGTGAACGGTTACGTCACATGTGTCGTCTTCATATTGTTTGGTCGCGGGTAATTTGATCACGCTTTCAAGGATAAACCACTACGAAATATTTTAATGTATTTATCTAACCGCGAAGTACGTTTTTTGCCTCTTAAAATGGATCTCTAAGGTATGGGCTGCAAACGGAAGGTTTTTTAAATATACGTTTTCCGAATTCTTGATGATAAAAAAATCTCCTGCAACTACTTGGTTAACATAGAAATTGCTAGTGAAGGTATAAATTTGTTTACAGTTTGAAAAGTCTATCTCTAAGTCCAAAACACGGTATTAATATTCCTCATAGTGCCAATCTCCTACATTTTTAATATTGGCGTTATAATAAGAAAAGACGATTTAATAATTATGGAAATGAAATTTTCAATGAGGGATAACATAATCTTACATGCAAAACAGAATTCTTCGCATTCTATATTTAAATATATTTATAATAATATGTTGCTGTTATAATAATATATTTAAATAGAAAAGGCGAAGAATTCTGTTTTGGCCTCATATTTAAATATATTTAAATGTATTTATAATAATATATTGCTGTTATAATAATATATTTAAATAAACAGGCGAAGAATTCTGTTTTGCATGTAAGATTATGTTATTCCTCATTAGAAATTTCATTTCTTTATTGATTAATCATCTTTTCTTATTATAACGCCAATATTAAAAATGTAGGAGTCACTGTGCGGAATAATAACACCGTGTTTTAGACTTCAAAGATAGACTTTTCAAACTGTAAACAAATTTATAAATTCACTAGCAATTTCTGTGATAACCAAGTAGTTGCAGCCTTGCAGGGGATTTTTTTTATCATCAAGAATTCGGAAAACGTTTATTTAAAAAACCCTTCCGTTTGCAGCCCATACCCTTTTGAATACAAATTCCTGCATACCATCAACCATGCCCATATTTACGCTACAGAGTATATCCGCACCATTGGGTTAACTCGTATATCCAAGTTAACTTGTTGAATATTTGTACTGTATTCCAATACGATTTTATTTGTCGAATTTATATTCCTATTCGAAATTAGGCTAAATAAAGATGATAATATTTTTCCTTTTTCAGTTAATAAACATAAAACATGAGACGAATGAATTCAATGTCGTTAGACGGTCAAGGTCTTCAAATTAACCCTTTACCTGGAACATTTCCATTACTCGTTTTTATTAACCCAAAAAGCGGCGGAAAACAAGGCGTAAGGTTAGTTTGTTGTTTATATCTCATTATTAATTACATTATTCCTATCCCAAACCAGTTTCGAAATTATTAAATATCTCATTCGTTTTTTTAGACTACTCAGAAAGATGCAGTATTTACTCAATCCTAGACAAGTATACGACCTTACAAAAGGTGGACCAATGCCTGGACTTAACTTCTTTCACGACCTCGACAAATTTCGAGTTTTATGTTGTGGCGGGGATGGCACAGTTGGATGGGTTTTGGATTGCATAGGTAAGATCAGCTTGGTTACAAGTCTATGGCGAAGAAAGTTGAGGCATGGATCATCCCAGTCGACTTTGAGACCCATTAAAATTCAAAGTTCGAGTCCGGATTCTGGTCGAGTCAGTAAATTTTCACAAATCATCATCGTTTCGAATCGAACGTCGAGTCAGAGTTATAGTTAGTTGATACGGAAACTTTAAAATTGCGTTAAACCGACGGTATTGAAAAAACCCAAACTAGGATTTAATTAACACTATATTAGCGTATATAATGCCGGAGATTAATACATTTTTCTGTGTTGGTATTTTTCGAGATTTTTCTTCGAGAATGGGAACAATTTCCATGAAGTTGACGAAGTAATTTCGAAATTTGAAAATTATTTAAAATCGAATATAAAATGAATTACCTGATTATTTTAATTGGGCGTATAAACAATGCATGGTGTGATAAACACTAATTTATATTTACTTATCAGAACAATGACGAGTAATAGGAACTCTACATAAACAATTACATATTTTGATTTTGTTGTAGATAAAAGCGGAATACAAGAAAGACCGCCCGTAGCTATACTACCACTGGGTACCGGTAACGACCTTGCACGGTGTCTGAGGTGGGGTGGAGGTAAGAGCAATTTTCATTCTGACATTTTATTACAAATCTACAATAGGAATATTTTACTCGACTTCGAAGATATTTATACGGTCGTCGAATTCATTGACTCATATTAAACTTCTCATTGTAGCACTCGAAAATAGAAAAAAAAAAGCAAAACGTATTAATCGTATTAAAATGCGTATTCCATGGTGTCGAAATTCGCCTATTACAGTAATTATGTTTTGAATGTCATTTACCGCCCGGGTTTGTGGGAAAATATAGCGTTTCCGCTTATTAGTTTCTCTACGTTGTGTTTCTTTTTTAAATAATCACTCTTTCATTTCTTTATGTAGGATATGAAGGTGGTAGTATGATAAAATGTCTACAACAAATCGAAGCTAGTCAATCTGTTATGATGGACAGATGGAATTTGAAAGTTGATCATGACCCCGAAACAAAAGAAAAAGGAGATCCCGTACCCCTCACCATCATGAATAATTACTTTTCAGTAGGAGTGGTAAGTAAAACTAAATAACAACGAGAGTGAAATCTCGTCTCATCAAATAGACAGGCCTATGTAGGCTTTTCAAGGTACTACATAAGGGCGTCTAATTACTTCATTTGGCAATTTTACCATACAAAAGCCGATATAATAAAACATTATCAGATATGCGTAAAATAGACACAATCTAACCATTTCCCATAGATTATGGATTATTACTGCAAAACTAAACACCACAAGCAGAAAAAAATTGCACTTACGTCTAATTGTTCATTTCTCCTAAACACTTATTCAAATCTATTCTCGCGTCATAATCGATTGCCTTATTATCTCGGTATTTTGATATATGACTGATATGAAATAAGCAATATGCTGGTTATTGTAGACCATTGTCTCCTTGAAAAGTAAAGGAGAATTTACTTTTAATGACAAAAGCGACTGCTAACTGATAACACTGAGGGACTGAAAAACATTTATCGAATAATATTTGTTTTGTTTTTCTATGCAACCAAGTACATCTGGTTGATCAGTGTATGTGTTTTTGATCTTTGATCGATATCTCTTAAATCTGCTAGTTCTCACGTTTTGTTAGGAGAAAATCTTAGTATCCGTTGCATTATAGAATTCACTTTAGCTTAAATCGTTAAAATTCAACAAAATGTTTATTACGTTGATAATCGGGTGCTCCAGAAGTGTTTGTACCAATATGGAGGCAGGCCAACTTTTTTCGCCTACTTCACATCAAGTTGTATAAAGGGATTGAAACCTATGGGCAGGGGAGCAGGGGGTATATTCACTTGGCAAACACAGACAGTCCCCGAACTCGTATAAAACTAAAATAAGGAAAATCAAAATAAAACTATGGCCTAACCCTAACCTGGTACACACACTATACGGGAGTACCGATAATCTTTGTACGAATATATCGGAATTTTAGCGATAGGCACCAACTATCTTTCAATTGTCCCAAGACCTACTTGTTAGGATGAGTTATGCGATTGTCACACCCCTTCTGTTCATTATAGAAAAATGTGGGGTGGAGTAATATGTATCCCTTTTCGTTATAAAATTAGCGGTGATTATTATAAATAAACAAAACTTTTATTTTTTTCTATAGGACGCCATGATTTGCCGAAAATTTCACGTCATGAGAGAAAAACATCCCGAAAAATTCAACAGTCGGATGAAAAATAAACTTTGGTATTTTGAATTCGGAACTTCAGAAACATTCGCTGCATCCTGCAAGAAACTTCACGAAAACCTAACGGTCAAGGTAATATTACAGTTATTGGGAAGTTTAAAAATCCTTGGTTCGCGCGGGACTACCATTTGTTCATCATACGATATAGAAAGTACCGGTAAACATAAATTCATACGTCTTTTCCAACGCCGTTTTGCTATATTCTAGAACGATTCAATGAAAACCGAACGTTTCCTGGCTTGTTATGAATCAAACGCGATAGATGAAAATGCGAGCCTTGCTTATTTCCGAAATAAAATAACTGCCTCAGTTCTTTCCCAGTTTCTAACTGTTTTTTTTTATTCATATTATAAAGGTTGATGGAAAAAACATCGATTTACAAAGTGGCCAAAGATTTCAAGGCATCGCTGTTTTAAACATTCCCAGTGTATATGGAGGAACAAACTTGTGGGGAACGACTAAAAAGAAGAAAAAGAAACTTGCGCTCCCATCTAGTACTACTGCAAGTAAAGATAACATCGATATTAAATACGCAGTTCAAGGTAATATACTAGCAGATGTTAATTTTGATATTTGTTCAGTCTAGTGGTTGGAGGCATAAGACCTAAAAATCTTGGGTCGGCAGCCTATACCCAGTAACTCATACAGAGTGTAATAAATTGGACAGGCAATGGCGGACCTGCGAGATTGCGTACCTCGAAAATATAGTAGTGCCTCGCTTGTACGGCCCCTTGTTCTAGGTTAGGTGTAAAATATCTCTTTAGAAAATTATTGAAAAAATCTTTCCAGGACCCCCCCCCCCTCTCACCCTCGTGTTCATCTTCACAATTTTTTTTATATGTTTTTAGGCATGGGAGACAAAATGTTAGAAGTTGTTGGTGTCGTGGGAGCGATGGAAGTTGGACAAATAATGGCGGGACTTCGTGCAGGAAATCGTTTAGCACAAGGACACGTTATTGAAATTACGTAAGATAATCGTCATTTATATTTCAAATTATTTTGATTGACATAAAAATGCCCATTCGAATGTTTGTTAAAACATTCATATCGGATGCTCCATGCCATGATCAAGGTTGGCCAAATGCAATCATATCAAATCAGCGTTCCGGTTATACTATATAATTGGTTGATTGGTGGTTGACCAACATGATAACCCGAGTCACGATTTGTGTGGATAACTCAATGGGAATCAAAAATATAAAATAGTTTTGTATTATTTTTAGTCAAATTGTTTTTAGTGCAAAAATTAGAAATAAATTAAATAATCTCAATATTACAGGACAACAAAATTGTTTCCAATGCAAGTTGACGGAGAACCATGGATGCAGGTTCCTTGTAAGGTGAGGTTGATTTCCAATAAATTGTTTAAATTTTAGGTCTTAACTTTTGATCATCGTGTTGATTATGTTGCTTCTGCTTTCAGTACAATTATTTCTATTTTTCGGTATACTTTTATTTTTACTCAATGACTTATTGTTAAACATTTAAAAAGCGCCCGATCATTAACTCATATTTAACCAAATTAGGTTTTTATCATCATTCTATCAAACAATATTCCGAATCAATATTTGACTGTGAGGACAAGTTTTAACATTTTACCAGTAGGCTCATCCTTTTATTCATTTCATCATTTTCAATAATTTATCTATATTTGATCCGATTTGCTTTCTGAGGCAAACATTGTTATCTTTAATTTATTTTACATCTTTGATATTTGATAGTTTCTTATCGTCATGTTTTTCTATTTTCAGATCGAAATAACTCACAAAAACCAAGTACCAATGTTAATGGCAACACCACCACAACAATCTTCAATATGGACGTGTTTCGGGAAAAATAAAGCCACGGTTGAAGACACTTAAAACCAACACAGAAAAAGGCTTCACTGTCGTATTTTGAACCTTCATAATTTATTTCACGAAAGGAAGAGGGAAACACGAGCTTCATCACCGAAAAAAGAAACAAGAGTATAGGGCTAATTGCCAGGTTTTGAAATTAACGTAATCGCGAAAACGAGATTTGGATCATTTTGCTCCCACTTCGGACGATTTCGGCTCCCACTTCGGACGAAGCAAAGGGGCCAAATACCCTAGATTGCTTATTGAATCATCAGCCTAGCCTGTAGTACATTCTTACTTGTGTACTCCAAATCTCAATGATCTATCCATATGTTTCATCGACGATTCATTCATTCGTATTGTATTTATTCATTTATTTGCATATAGCAATTTTGATCTGTAAACGTATGACTCAACGCTAAGCATTTGATGGTAAAATCGAACCATTTTTGATCATTTAATATATAGAATATGCCCTGGTGGCCTATCTATTCTAACTTGCTTAACTTTAAAAACTTTCAATGTTTCTATCTAACGTATGTACGTAAAGAGTGAACATGATGGATCGGTGGAAAAGGCTGTTAAACGTTGTAGACTCGGCTAAACGCGCTAATATGCTCGTGGCCAGCATCTTTTTAATAGTGTTATCAAATAGTTTTCCGCCATTTTTTCTTCTCTTATTCTTTTTTTTTGCGTTTATTGATCAGCAATTTTTCTTTTGGGCCTAAATCTATGTTTGCACAGTATTTGGCGGTTGTGTGTGGGTCGCGACATTTGCCATTATTTATCGCCCAAAATATCTTTATTTATCGCCAAGAGGCGCGCCAACGAGTAATATAACAAAATTTTTATTTTCCGGTAGTGTCGTTTAATTATTTCTTTGTTTATTATCACCATAACAACGTCGACTACAATGAAATAAAATCTTTTCATAAATGACGTCATTTATAATTACGTCACAATGTTTTGATGGGCTTAAAAACCGATATAAATCAATGCCATGAGTATTGTTCTAATCGCATTGAATCGACAGAAGCATTTTTGTATGACGTCATGAATGGCGTAGTTTTTGGTTGTCTTGGTGAGATATTATAATAAGGCAGGGGGGTTTGAATATCAATTCCCCACATATCACTGGACTTTCTCTAGATTGACAATATGTGAACATAGATGACGGCCAATCGGGCTTATTTATCAACACAAAAATTCTTCAAATGCTACTTCTATATTTTTGCTAACCGAGAGAAAACGATGTACAGTCAAGCTCTACTAATGTCCTTTCATCAAAAATCTGTTCCTTCTTCCTGGAGTTTTCCATTATCCAGTACTCGTAGAGATGATAATCGTCAGTCCACGTTTAAAAATTTCTATCGAATTTGCACCTCGTCGTTTTATTTCTCTTTCTTGCTATTCAGTTTGAAATCACTTTATTTCATGTTTTTCAACGTATTTTTTTTATTTGTGTTTTCATTATAATTATGCATTAACGATTCTCCTACATTTTACTCTTTTCATTCGTTCTTTAACTCTTTTTCTGACGTGTGCTTATTATAGATATAGTTTTATCCTCCAAAAGAGATTTACAAAAAAAGGATATAATAATTCATCAATAAATGTTACAAATTGTATTTGTTGGAAGCATTCGCTGTTTTTCCTCCAAGGCCACTTTGACGCAAAATCTCGAACCTGACATGTTCAATCTATCTTATTCGACTTGCGGTACCTATTGCGTGTATCTTACTCAACTTGGGGTATCATTTGAGTGTATCTAACTCACCTTTGGGTGCCCATTGAGTGTATCTTACTCAACTTGGGGTACCCATTGAGTGTATCTTACTCAACTTGGGATTCTCTATTGAGTGTATCTTACTCAACTCGGGATTCCCTATTGAGTGTATCTTACTCAACTTGGGGTACCTATTGAGTGTATTATTTTGAGTAGATTTTAACACTTCATCAATCGTTTGCCGCATTTAGATCATTCTACATTTAGTCACGCAATTGTTACAGTTTCCCCTTCAATATCATGATTTATCGTGGAATTTTGCTATTTTTTGTGCTTTTTACTAGCATTATTATCGAGTTTTTGAATCGTTTTATTCCCTTCACGATGTCAATTCCTTCAGCTTAAATCTTTCAAGTCTGTCTTGATTATGTACTATGGGTATTAATATAATGATATTAAATTACAACATTTTATTAAGCTACTTTTTATGGTTGATATTGAATGAATAAATGTACTGATTTTATGTTTGATACATATATGTTTGTTTACTTTTGCACCTTCGGTTTCAGTAGGCATCTAATTTCTGAACGGAAGATGGCGCCATGGAGTTGTAAAAAAACGATTATGGGATGTATTTCGGATAGGTCTCTTGGGGCGGTCGAAACAAACTGTGCTGTAGTGGAATTCTATAAATTTTATCTTCGAAACTTAAGCGGATCAATGAAGGGCTTCTGTTTATAATAATAAAAATAATGACATGGCCTGTTGCGGTGAAAATGCTGGATTTTCCGTTTCGCGTCAGGTCGTGAGATTCAGGAAGGGTACACTGGATGATTTGTTTTACTTGGGAGCAAAAATGAGGACAGAATTGCCTGATGTGAATTTCCCTAAATCTGAATCACTAAATTACACAGTGCCTCGCCGGTTCAAATTGAATGATATCAACTTGGAGCTACCCCCTCAAGGACAAATTGTCAGCCATTGCACTCGGTTGGCCATGGGCTCCAAAGTCTAAATCTAAACCATTCACCGTCATTGTAAGTTTTGGACAAAGAAGCTTTTATAATCTATTTCCTCATAGATGGCACGCAAAGCACAAATCTATATAGTTTCAGTAGCTATTGGTGCTTCGGTAGTCGCCCGAAACAAGCTGAGAGATGAGTCAAATTTACTTCTAATTAAGTGCGAATGACTTTGCTATTAAAGAGAAAATTATCTTTAAATAGTTAGGTACCCAGTCTCTTAATTGGCATTGTAAACATCAAATGCAAACGACTAATACACGTCCTCGAATTTTAATACGGATTATCATATGTTTGCCCTTTCAAATTTGCAAGAGGTCGTGATCTCGATTTGTGAATTGTGAGATTACAAAAGTTCTCTCATTTTCCATCGGTTAGCCAATTCATATAACAAGTGGTCTCTCATCTAGGAGCTCAAAGTGAACCTCATTATCGTGAGAGTAATTAGCATTCGCTCGAAGCCCTCAAGCTGGAACAATGTTTAAATGATAAATCAAATAAAACAATATTAGTCATTTTAGAATGACACTGTATGTTATAGTAAATAGCGAGTTACAGAACAACAGTAAATTGTTTGTTATTTTATCGTACACACAAAACCGAACTAGGCCGATCATATATATGGTATTGGATGGCAGGCAATAAAAAAAATCCATCTTATATTTTGCTTTTTTCAAAAATTCATCGCTTATTACACAACTTTAGGATTCAAAACGATACCACACTGTCATTTGGCATCGATGATTTGGACGTCAATACTACCTTTGTGTGGCTTGTATCATCATTGATCGACCTGAGATAGGCGCGGGAACAAATCCCCCTGAATAATTAATGGTTTAGCAGCTCATTAACACGCACAACTTTCTGCATGGGTATTACCGTTTGAATTTTTTATATTCAATAAATCCAGGTAAAGCGATAGTGTTAGATATCTCTATCATAGCTTAACACTTAGATACTAGCACCCATAAATTTGCATATAATATCACCTAACTAAACTTCACAACGCAATACCAATTGCTTTTGAAGCATGCACATTATCACTTAGGAGCATGTATCCCCACCCACGCTACAAAATGATGTTGCTGATTTTCGATGCGATTTGGGAAAATACTAGTTTAATTTAATGCGGATATACAAGTAATTTTACATTGAGTTGGCATTGAGATATCTGGAATTTTAAACTGGAAGGGGATGATTTGTTTTACGGCAATGGAGCCTGAGAAATTGTAATTTTTCACATACAAGTGTATTTATGTTTTCATACATCTATATATATTGATACCTGTTCACCTTTGAACTGGTAGGATTGGCATCAATACGCATAACCACGTGCCTATACATTATGTCGCATTAGGAAAATATATGGAAATTATAAATATAATAGAAAACTTAATCAATATTTTACTTTTGTAAGGTACATCGGTTTGTTGACTTTTTGAATGAGGCAAACATCTTTCTCGCGCCGTACTAACTTAATCATTTTAAATGGAACTTGTTATTGAAAATCTCTTTTAATTTTTTTTACTTAATTAAGGACATGTCACCTGACATCAACATTTTAAAACAAACATCTATGTAAAAGTTTAAAACGCGTTCCGTAGTCGATTTTCGCGAACAATTTGTCAATGAGGGTAAAATATTAATGAATTCAACAAAAACAACAACAGGGGGAATGAAATGAAATGTAAATTTGATGAGTAACACCGCTCGATTTGATCGATCTTTTGAAAAACTTTGCCAAATAAGATCGAATTAAGCAGCGCGAAATTTCAAATTTTCCAGGTGTAATTTCGACCCGTTGACTGAAAACAAAAAAATATTATTTCCATCAGAACAAGTTTACAAAAGTCTACATACCGACGTACTTTTACAGTTACGTTATGCATATGTCGGATTATAAATTGAGCACCGATATACCGTTGCAATATTTTCAGCTAGCGTTGCCAGATGTAAATGTTTTAAAATCGATAGTTTTCTGTTGACAGCGGAGGAATTAACACCTAATAAAGAAAAATCAGTTTGTAATTAGGTTTTTAAAGATATATAGATTGATGGAATTTTGCGTCGTATTTTCGAGGCAGTCGTTCACATATTTAAAAAAAACTTTACAAAAAATCAAAACCTGACCATCACAGGCATATTTACCATTTTGAGGCTTTAAATGAAATTTCTAAACGACGTTCCTACTCAAGGAGGTCAATGGTCACGTAATATTAAGGCATTTACGTCGAATTAGTGAGCACAACGGCAATTTGACATTCGTTTGATGGTTGATTCTAATTTTACGCTTTGAATTGAGAATTTTTCGATCGTAATATAAAAAGCCTCGGTTCTGTAGCGTAGCACTTTGAAATCATTCAAATTGAAAGTTGAAAGGCAGACTCAACAGATTCAGTAACCGGAACAATTGCTCCCACAATAAAGGTCGAACGAGTCATTTGCCTTTCGAGATTGCGACAGACGGATACAGGAATCTGAAATGCCTTATCCACAATAGCCGTTCATCAGTTATGCTGATAACTGGACAAATTAGCGAACAAATGATTTGGAGTGAAATCTAGGCGAAGGATCAGGTTTGAAAACTATTTTAAAATAGAAGAAATGATTTGTCTGCATAAATAGTTAAATTAAAAACTGAAGGATTGTTTCATAGTTTAGAAAAGAAAACATATAGCAAAAAATACTTTACAGATCAGTCAATGTTGTCATATGTTATGAAAACAAGAAGTGGTACCTTTTTTTAATGACTTATGCGTAAAGATATCCGACCCTAATTTTTTTAAGGAGGAAGGAAATTTCTACGTATTATTATCAGCATCAAACTTCTTTAACAATTGATGCTTGTTCATTTCTGTAAAATAGTTGACTATTATCTCGAAATTTTCATTCAATATCTGATGTATTTTTATGATTTCAACATAGTGTGTTAGAACTAAATAAATACATCTTTGACAGTAAGTCGCTTATCTAGGCAACCCCAAAATATGGCAATCTTTTCGTGTTTGATTCGACCGTTGAGATAGCATGATAGATATAGGTGTTCCGAATTCTAGTTGATTTATTGCTTAAATTAAATCAATGCCGTTTTTACAGTACAGAAATGAGTCAACTAAATAGGTTTTGAGTTTATATAACTGCTTTTTTAGTGTGTTATCATATCTGTAAAGTTTTAAGCGGTTGAAAAATAATTCGAAGGAAATATTATCACCATCGCTAGGAGAGCATATCCTGTAATGTGTATAATGTAAATTTTAATGTACTGGGAATTTGAGCAATATTTCACAGAAATATGTGCGTCGCTTAAAATGGGAGGAAATTAAAAAATGCACGAGTATAGTGTTTAATTAATTATTTAAGATGTAATTTTAAATGATATTTAATGCGATATTAATTATTACAATGATTAATATATAATATGTTAGTCTATTGACTCTAGATCCCAAAGTGGCTTGAGATAGTTCTTATTCGGCCTACTTCTTAGTCGGGAAGATTTATTTGAAATACTGCAAACAATTCAGATCATATATTAGATTCCCACTTACTTATATATACGCCAATGCTTGAACAAGGCCTTTCTTTTATAATGATGCCTGGACAACACTTTCACCTTCCTACTTTTTCTCCTCACTTCATTGATGTTATAGATATTATAACGAATTCTAATTTCTAATCAAGGCATTTGCGTTAAATTATAAAACAACTTCTTGTTTATCCAACATTTTATTTAAAGTTGTCTTATAACATCTTGTTTTGTTGTTACAGCTATTATTCACTCTAATTTTATAGATTTTGGAGTAATTTCGTATAAAACATACCTAATTCATTAGTTACGAAAAAAATGACTCAACCAAAGGTGAGGTTCTTTTAATTATTTTTATTTCAGTTTAGTTAAGGGTTAAAACGCTCCTTGGCAAAGACAGATACTTATATCTAGATCTTCAGGTCAAATTTTTTAGCATAGCCCGACTTTAAAACCTTATAACACCTGACACATTTGCATTTAACTGTGGAAATTATTATTAGTATATATATATATTCTTGTTTATATTCTTCGAGGATCTGATAAGGAGATGTAAATTGTGCTACATCTTACAACTAAACTATGATGGATCATATGCGACATACAAAACATATATTACCCCATGTTCTTAAGATAATATATATTTTTGTTATGAGGATGGAAACTTCCAATTGAACGAGCGTAAATAGTCGAAATACGACAGTCGTGTGAATTGTTGTTGGATCAAAGTGTTGCAACTAAGCATATTAAGAGTCCCCGAAGATAATATTATCGCAATTACGAATAGTTACATAACGCGACCTTCTTTTATGTAATGACTGCTGAGTAACATCCAGACCAATTAGGGAATCCAATGTACAATGCATCATCTCTTTTATCTACCCCTCACGTGGCATCAGTATTTGTTACTTCATACACCAACTCGCGTAATTCGGCATGAAATCCACACTTGGGCAACCAACCAAAGTTGATGTTTCTAAACCAGTTATGATGGGATAATTGGAATGACAATTGAAACCACCAGCTTCCTGGCCCCTGGAATTTTAGCTAGTTCTTTGATTTATTATTCCTGGCCAATTCAGGCATGAAGTTATAAACCTATGATATCATCTTATCATCATTGAAATTGTGAATTAGGCAGAAATAATAAGGTGGTTTATAACAAAGAAGCCTTGATAGACACCATTTATGCTTCTATATTTTTAACTTTGAATCTCACATTGAAATACATATTCTCAAAGATAACATCAATTGACAGATCTCCAATACAGAAGTTGTTACATTACAAAAAGATTGGGAGCTTCCGATCACGTGTTGCGTTTTTTGAACGTAAACACGACAAAAGAAATCAAGTGCATACGCAACTAACTAACTATTCACAATGTACAATGTTTTGAAACACTACACGCGCCAACTCGCAAAAGCACTCCTAAAATAGCCCCTAAAATTTTGCATTGGTAAAGTATAGGAAGAATTTTTCGGGGGTCAAAGGTCGGGGAAATGTCCATTCTGAATCTCAACCAAATGCTGTGGCTCCGCTTACAAAAATTCCGTAAACATTCCGCTATTCCAAAATGTATGATCTGATTGCAGATGAGTATCTAGGAGTATGCAGCCGATATGAATTGTAGCAAACCAGTGCAAAAATCATGTTTATGTTATATATTATAAACATATTTTAAAACAAGAGAGCAATGTTCGAACATATGGAAACAAAAGTCAAAACGGAGTAATATCAAATATTTTTCAGTACCGGTAGTCTGACAACCAGATCGCTGACATGTGATCACAGAATCAGGAAACGGTGCGCAATTTGGATGACGTCATCACACAAAACTTCGATATGAAAATCGAATCCCATAGAGCCCACATCTATTTTTGAGATAAATAAAAAGTGATAGCCTTCTAGCCACAACAACAAGCTTTCACCGCTGACAATTTCTAAGCAATTATTCCTGGAGGTAAAGAGAAAAACGATTTTTTTCACAACAACAAATATCATAATAACAAAACTCCCACTTCTTATCCAACAATATTCCTTTATTATTTACTTTTTAGATAATATTGTTCGAAGATGGAGACTTTGGTGGCAATAGCCTGGTGCTGACAGAAGCAACTTCGAAACTGGAAAATCATTCATTTAATGACATTATCTCGTCAATAAAAGTTGAATCTGGAACGTAAGTGCATTACTTATCGTGCTAATGAACAATATTCATTCTTAATATTACCAACCCCACCCGACCTAGAGTGGATAACATGTCAAAATTCTGGTAGGCTAGTCCAACAGCATTGGACGAAGTAGCCAGAAGACCGCTACAGTGGTGGTGGCATAAAACCCATATTGGGGATGTCAAAATGATACCCGATTCAGTTCAAAAAATAAGTCCTTCGAAATTGTCTTCGATATCATCTGAACTTTTAAACAACTGTTCGTGTGAATACACCGTAGCAAACTGTTGGAGAAGTGCTAACGGTATTAGGGCCTATAGAAGCTGTGCAAAATTTGATTGTTTGTTGATGTTATATTGAATCAAATTTTCGCCATCATAAAATCATTTTCCTCTGATCAACGTAATTCTTGATTGCCAGTCATCCCAGGTATACTTCATTTTTTCCGTGACCTTAATTCTCACACTTGTTTTGTTCGTGGCATTCGTTAATTATGTTTCAGATAGTTCCATTTTCAGTTCACTCATTAACGCTGACGACACAATTCTTCATTGGCCTAAAATGAGTATATGTCTGTGGCAAACGTCGTATAAAGTCTTAGTCGAGAGAATCTATTAGTTGTATTTTAAATGTATATCATCCTTTGGTGCACCATGACTTCGATGGCAAATGGGCGTTGCTGTGGAAAGCGGAGGAAGTTGTTAAAGTATTATTCGTGGTATTATTCTCTTTCTTCTTCTAGTTCTTTTCAACTACCGGACCAATTTCTTTGAAATTTGAATTTATTGAAGATTGTTGTTGTCGCTAGAATATCATTACTTTTATTCATTTCAAAACGTTCTGGGTGCTCTATGGAATTTGTTTTTCACTTCAAAGGTTTGTGTGATGACGTCATCTAAATAGAAATTGCGCGCCGTACCGTATTCCGTGATCACATCTCAATGACTTGGTGGCCGGACTACTGGTACTGTAAAAGATTTGATACTAATTCGTTTTGGCCTTTGTTTACATATATTCGAGCATTGCTCCATTGTTTAATCATAGCATTTATTTGAAAAAAGGTATTTGTTATATTTCCGATACTTTCATTATCCATTTGTATGTATTACAGTTGGATTGTCTACGATGACGAAAATTTCTGTGGAAAAAGCTATTTGCTGAAGCCCGGTTCTTATCCAAATGCACAAAGTTGGGGAGGAAAAGACGACGAACTTTCGTCAGTTAAACCTGCAGACTAATGGATTTCAGCAAAGATTGATAGACAATTAAAGTGAAAAAACTGAAATATATTTCTCAGAAACCGGACTCTGTTTTAGACAATACCACAATTGTGAGAAGGTATCCCAGAGTTTCAATTTCTATTATATTCATTTTGTGTTTTGGTGCATCTGAAGTTTATCCCCCATTCTTATGTGTATATATATATATATATATGAAGGAATACCACACAAACAATACTGGAACCACTGGGCTAAGATGTAGCAAAGTTTGCCAAAGTCTCTCTCTCTTTATAGACGTGGGAACTGAGAGCGGTGAGTGTTCAAATGATGAGCGTGAAGGGCGACTCAAATTGAACTATTCGCGAAAAACACCATAATACACACCATAATATAACACCATTTAATTTTCTACAATTGTCAGCCCTACTTTACCCACGTAAAATGTATCTATCATTGTTGAAAAGAAATGAAATGTAAGTTAAACAGCTTAAGGGTTTGTGCAAACAACTTCCAGACATTCGCTGACATTAGCGAATAATTTCTGTTTCACTGCCATATACAGTATATCATTTGTGTTCATATCGTTATGTTTTTATCATTCTGTCGTTGCTATTTTTCGAAGTCGTGAACAAAAATTGAAACAATTTTTCAAAAGGAAAATGGTGCAATTCTTCTATATTTGTACACGTTTGATAAGTAGCTGATGCATGTGAACATTTCTATTGCTCAGAGCTCATGTTACATATTACAATGCTTGAGAACAGTGATCAATAAAATCATCCTGTGTTTACACGTACACAACTACTGATGTAGTGAATACATATACATGAGCATGGAAAGATCTTGGAGAATAAAGAGTGAATACAGTGACAGCTCTTGTGATTATCGTTCACATTGTACATGATTCCACGAAATTGAAAAAAAATATTTAAGCATACTATCAAGTGGAAGATGAGATAAAATAAATTAGCTTTTAACCACATCCCATAAACACTATTCTCGACCAGTGAGTCAGGCCTGTCGGCTTGTAATTCACTGGCAGCATTTAGTATAGAATTATATATAGGTTCAGTCATCGAAAATTGACAAAAAAATTTACAATAGAAGCTATGTAAGGTGGACGAAGATTTTGGGCGTGAGCTTCAGTCAAAATTTGATATATGTGGGTCGATATAACAGCGGTTACAAATGTGAAAAAAGAGAATTATCCTATAGATTCAAAGTATAGAAAAAATACTGGATATGTATTTCTAAGCATGGACTGTACTGTACAACCTCAAACGCGGTCACTCGTGACAAAATATAATTTTTCATCGATCTTGGACATCGGGACGAAATAATTACTGGACTAATTTTAAATTCTCTCCAAGTCGTTGAATCTCGTCCAACAAGAAATCGACGTCACATTTTTCCACTGCATGGTTGCTGATGACACATCGAAAAAAATTAACTTTGTCGTCAAGAGGTTGATATCCAATCATGGTGCTGCCACACTCCATCATTCGAGCTTTTATAATTGGTGCAATCTATAGTAAATAAAAGAGTCAAAGATAAAATGATTCGCCGTCAAAATTGAATACATCAATACAAATATTGAGAGCAGTGTTCGTTTCCATTTGAGTGACTTACTAAGTCAACAAATGTAAAATGAAGCTCTATCTGGCATGGAAAATGATAACAGCTTACAAGGTAAATATAATAGAAAGAGCAGAGTCGATTAAGTTGTGACTATATATATACACACACAAAAAGCAAGGTATTGAATATTTTTATAAATCTAACGAAATTATTTTAACTTGCACAACTTATTAATAGTTTATTTTAGAGGAGTTCTAAAAGTATCATGAGTGGAACATTCTGAAAAAAATTATTGCAAACTTACTTTTCCCAAAAGTTGATCTCTTGTAGAATCTTTTTGCATTGTTCGCATCCACGGTGGCAGATACCAGAAGCATACATTTGTGTATTGCGGCTGAAAAATACAATAACTGAGTAACAATCAAGACAAATGACCCCACGCGAATCTACGATACGAGCATAAATGCGCCATGAACTGGGCGATGCGAATATAATGCTTATTTACCTTATCCATTACCAGTTCGAAGCCTTCTAATGACTTGATGCGATTTGTCATATATCTGTAAAATATAAAAATTATTTTTATTATTCGCTAGAGAGAGTTGAAAAGAGTTCAACAATGGAAATTATCTTATATTTTGTCTCCTAACCCCGCTAATGTTGGTAGTATATGTTTTTCTTAAAAATCAATGGCTTGCAGTAATACAAACATCTTCAAAAGTGTTTTGAATTACAAAATATATAAATTGCTTGAAAGTTGGTAACATTATCTTAGAGTTACGCCACTCAGCTTGAGAAGACCGAAGTATAACTATAACCCTTTTGAACTGTTCCAAATATCAATATTTCACACTTGCTCTATGAAATTAAACAAACCAAATGTATGTATTTCACAAAGCGTAGTGTTGTAGTGTTGTATGTACGGTAACCTCATGTATATTTATACAAACAAATGTCGTATTTTATACAAACAAATTTCCTTGAAGAAGGCTAATGAATAAAATGGGTATCTAATCTTTCACATTACCGGTACGGTAGGTAATGAGCATAAACAAGAATATGAAGAAGAACAACATAATAACAAAACGATCAAAATGTACATTTCGTGTCCAATAATATCCACACACGACTCGTTACCATGAAAACTTTTCAACTTACGTTGACATTTCTATGCATTTGTCGACATGTTTTTCAAAACCTTCATCTCCCTGTAAATGTAATAAATCTGTTTTGAAATAATATTCAAAAACCAAAACAAATTGGTTGATGTTGATATATTTGAATTCATCTTTGGATCGTATGGTACTGTCCTGTCGGAGATATGTTTTATAAAGCCAATAGCACAATTTTACTCACCTTAGCTCGCCATGATAACCATAGTTTAAAAACATCTACGTGTCTTCCACATTGTATTGTTTTATCCCCTGTATCGTATGATACGTCATAATGTTTATCTTGCTGAAATAAATAGCTCGCCTCCATCTTGTTACATTCCTCAAGTAGATTCTGAAATTGTTCAATCATTGTGGGTTCCAAGTATATCAAAGTACCCTATATATATTGGTATGTTCGCTTTTGCTCATTTGACCACCATTATGGTTCTAAATTTCTGCACCCAAAGTGCATTATACTATGTATTTTCGTGTCATTACATTTTTCAGTTATAACGAAATGCAAGCGATATATGTACCTGTCTGTACAATTCAGACACACCTTATTATTAACGATATGTGCGAGGTGCAAAGTGAAAATATTGTCACATACGGGTGCCGTGCACCACTAGACCACCTGTATTAGTTGTTCTACCTGTATTCTTGAAAATCATTGAAATGAGTGTTTTGACTTGTGTGATGCATGTGATTCAATTGTATGCTGTTCTACAATGTATTCTGGTTGAGCAGCAGAAATGCTACACATCTGTTTTCACCAACTGCATAAAAGTAACGTGGCAAACTTACTTTGTGTTTGATGAGAAGTGCGGAACACTGCAAAGTTATTCCCATCATTTTGTGTGGATTCCATGTAACAGAATCAGCTCGATCAATTCCTCGTAGAAGAGAATGATGTTTTTTTGACATCAATGCTCCTCCACCCCAGGCAGCCTGAGTTTACGTAGGTATATTCTCAAAAGTGGTTTTCAAAACGTTAAAAGAAATAGTAATAAAACATTTTAACATAGACCGCAGAAAATTTACTACCACAGTGAACAGCGCAATAGTAAATTGATAATTCGATGCTGGCTAGGGGGAAAACCTATTCAAAAGATAGTATCGCAAAACCAGAGCTGGCCTATAGTTTGGAATTTGAATGTGCATATTCGTTTTCAACGAAATTGAATTTCATCAGTGAATTATTTAATTTCAGAATGAAAACTTTATATTTTTGTTAATTCCGATATTGTAAATTATTCTAATTTTAACATACGTCAACGTGGAGCCACAATCCATATTTTTTGCAAATAGCTGAAATGGGTGTTATTGGATCGAATGCGCCAAGTACTGTTGTTGCAGCAGTCGCACAGACATAAAATGGTTGTTTTCCATTTAACAATGCAGTTTGAATTTTCTTCTCTAAATCACATGGTTTCATTCGTCCCCTGGTACGTAAAGAAACAGTGTATTATCTTTGTCATATTTGTTACAACTTTTTAAACTAGAAGTTCGCCCGTAAATGATCAACAAAATTTATTTAGTAGTGATATATTATTTCTTTGATGTTAAAGCATTTCAAGATAATTTATTTTCGCTCAGTAAGTGGGCTGTTGGAAAATTTTTGTTTAACCAATGCTGTTGTTTTTGGTGTTGACATTACCACCTCTGAGCTTCTTAAATCTCTTGTATTATTTGTTCATCAGTTCATAAGAGAGACTTTAATTCTTCATAGAGCAAGTCAGGCAGCGCAATGTATTTTATTACAGAGCCTACAAATACAAGGCAATTTCAATGGATAGGGTTATACCTTAAAGATGTGGCATGTATATTTTATAAAGTTGAGGTTTGGACCAGATCAATTTAAATTCAACATTGAACTTGGTATACCTGTTATCGACATCAACCAAAATAACATTGTCAGTTCCAATTCCAAGTGTTATCGCTGGTCTTGAGTTGGAATAATGTGCCTGAAACAGTATGATACAAATTTATGAAATGCCAATGAAGAGATAGGAATATTGTGCTGACGAAGTTTGATCTATAATATATATATATATCATTGTTAATATTAAATGCCATACGTGTTTAGAAACAAACATCACAATGTCTGGTGAATGTTTCATTCCCAATTTCTTCACATCAGGACAACTTAGATTTCTTGCTATCATTGCTGCATACATGTTGTTAATAGATCCACCTAAAAAAGAGAAGCAAGTTTTAGGTAAAATCTTTTAACGGATAGTCAATATATTTTAAACACATGTTATGCTTTATGTTTCCACGTAAAATCTAATTCGATGGTCTCTAATAATAATTCATCATTGGATTGGGCGTTTAACAATGAGTGGATATCTGGATGGCGTCCAGGAGTTAGGAGGTAACGGAACGTTAACTTGCACGAGCAAACACTACCTATACTATCGAAATAACTCAATTTACCTGGAGAAAATATTCCATCTCCCTCACCATCTTCCCAACCAATTATTTGACGCATCTTACGCAGAACAATTGTTTCCATACAGACGAACACAGGAGCAATTTCAAACGTAAACCTAAGAGTTAAGATGTTGCATATGTTATGAAGTATATTATAAACAAATACAAAAGCTACTATCTTTCACTACCATGGAATCTCATTTCATCTTGCTGAATTTTTCAACGTATACTTACTTATAGGCAGTTCATTATACAAGCAATAGGTAGCAAATTTGGGGGCTAGTTCACTAAACGCCGTCAAGTACTCCTAGTTGGCGTGACATAGCCATTTTCGCATATGTCATTTCTACCCGACCCGAGTACGTCATCCGAAAATTACGTCACGGTGACGAAATAAGGCCCGTCAGAGTATACGGATTGTCGTCCAAAACGCACAGACGATCACCCGAAATCAGGCAAGCTATTTCTCTCGTTTTCTCGTCGTAACGATCCCGATATGAGAGAGATCGCTGGCGTTAGCGAGTTCGTTATCGTCAGCGGAGATGCCATTTCGGGCGATCGTATCTTTTTTTGGCAAGCTCTATGACGTGATTGTGACGTCGTAGTGACGTAATTTTTTAAGACGTAGACAGATGAGGGTTAAGAATAACATATGCGAAAATGTTTATGCCTCGCCAACTAGAAGTACTTACGGCGTTTAGTGAACATGCGCCCAAATTTGTGTATGCATCAACCCGTTGCAAGACAAGGTGCTTTGCATAATAATATTGGACATTTACCTTTTCATGTAAAGTTAAAGTTGATTCCGTAACTTTTATTCGAGTATAAATCGAAATGCTAGATTTTATATAATTATTGAAAAACAAAGCAACGGAATGTTTAAAATATATGAAATGTGTAAAAACACATTTTTTTTAAAACGTCTTCAACAAAAATTTGTTTGTGCAATATATGTGTTCGTCCTGAATCGATTAATACATCAATAATAAACAAAAGGTGAATTCTATACGACCCAAGAGATTGCAGTTGTCACGCACACAAATGGCGCTGTGAAATATTAATGATTACAATATTACGTTGTGTGAGAATTTTCACACCAATCAAAAATCGGGAGAGTATTTAGTTTAGTAATTTTTTCCAGTGAAACATGCATCCCTCTTCTAGCAATCCAGCTACTTACATGTTTGTGTTTGCTGTTGAAGTTACCCACTCAGCTGCCAAAGATATAACATCCAATCCACTACTAAGTTGATTGAAGAAGCGTGGATGGCCTGAGTAATGAAAACGTAGTATGCTTGAATTCAATAAAGCGAATTAAACAAGCAATTGATGCCATTTGAAAATATACATATATTTTGCGCCGTCGCCCGATACCGTCACCGCTCAATATTTACTTTGAGAAAATTCTGACTATATGAAAAGTTGGTAAGATCGTTCAGGCAAACGCATTTTATTCAAATCAAAAATCAAACAAGTGAATCATACAAATCATCAGCTCAAAGAAATTGGATTTTGTTCTTATTTAGAAAATTTTCAGGAATTATATATAGTTACAGATAAAATCAATTTCGTGCATTTTTTAAAGTTTTCCAACTCTAAAATATTATTATATAAGAAATATTTTTGTTGTGGTTTACTAAAATGCAAAACGAAACATAACAATATTTTCCATCATTTGTTATATATACTTGTAAAAAACAGGTGAATGCTTATCTTTAGGTACTATGTTTGCATTAAGGAGTATAAAATCTATTTAACCTGTTTTTACTCCGTATTTCAAAGTATCCCGGCAATCGACAAGAAGTTGTTCAAGAGATTGCGGCCCAACGTCCAAATCTAGACTGAACCCTGATTTGATATAATAAGGTATCCATCAGAATATGTTTATAAAGGTATTATAATTGATTATTACGAGGCAGAATCACAAAATAATAATATACCGCTATAGTCAAAACAAAAGCAACAGGAAGATTCAATCTGAGGCAAACAATCATACAATATACAGAAACAACCTAATTTGACAATGTTTTCTATTGCATTTACATAAAACTGCATCAAGCAAGTCGGCAAAATTATTACGTTTTTTTTTTAATGGCTACCAAATTTTTTACTAAGAATGGATCTGATTAAAAATACTCGTTGCAATTATGTAAAGGTAAAAGATTCTGTTTAACTGCAATAAACTGAAAAATTTGCGGATACCTTCTATTCCGTCCAGAAACTGATGGGGATGATGGAAATCAAGTATTTTCGATTTTCTATCAAATGTCTTATGGACGTATTGCACCAATATTTTTAACAGTTCATTCATAAACTCTTCTGTGATGATTCCGCTTTTAGATTTGGGATAAATGTCTTGAAGAAAAATGTATTTTGTAAATTTAAGAATTTCATCTTTAGACAATTATAATAAATAGTATCAAATTAAATGCCAACAAAATTTTTTTACTGAAACATAGACTAAATGTTTTATCGCAGGAATAAACTATTGTATAGTACACTGTTATTGGCGCATACGATATATCATCCAACGTCAGATCATTTTTATCTGTAAATACACATTCCTATCACTTTGATCTGACATTATATTTCCCCCTCACTGTAACCTTAACTTGGAAAAATTTCGTGTAATACAATGCCACGAGATTTTTTATCATCGTTTTCGAATCAACTAAGAAATATGAAAACTATCCAAAATGAATGTAACCTAAAAAAGATAACTCTAAATCTTATATCAAATTGAGTAACATTCTGAATCAAATAGTCATGTACTCCATTATGATACCGATCAACTTCGGTGGTTATGTTGGATTGCCACTGATTCTTAACAATAGGCTCGGAATGGGTCGAACAAAACTAACTTTACATTTTTGGTTGGTAACTTCAAGTTGTTACTTTCTTACCTTCTACAGATAGTTTTCCGAAGTCATACTCCACTTTTTTCTTTTCCTTTGCCGTTTTCGGAGAATGTTCAACGATATTTTCAATATTTAGTCTGTCTCCAATAACACCAGAAAACTTTCGGGACATCTTTCTATTCTGTATGACTGCTGAAATACTCAAAAGTCCAGTGCAAATATAGTGCATGCGTATTTTTAAAAATAATGAAACATATTTACAAAAACTCACCTGAAGTACAGTCCTGGGAAAAAGCTCGATTTCTTGACATTATTTAGTTCTTAGCAAAATTTCCAATTTAGTTATATCTATAGCAATCTGTTTGTATATTTGGCTCTTGTTTATGACATACATTGAAGATAGTTTGATTGAATAAATTTGAAGGTGAGAACGAAAAACTCACATGTTCTAAATGGGTATTTTCTGATCTATATATGGTCTCAAATTGCTTTATTTTCCGAAGAAAACTAAGCCATTACAACTAAAAGGCTAAATATCAAAAGAAGTCGCGTGAAAATTTTTGGATGTGACAACATCTCTTATTTGTCATTTTCGTGCCTAAACTTGAATCTGTCTTGTTAATTACATGTCCTGGGTCGCTTCCGCTTGAAATGCTACTACTGCCTGTTATTTCATTTTCTACATTTGCAATTTTGATCAACGTTAATGATTATTTGAAATCTGTGAGTGGGTTTTAGCACAGAGCTGCTTGTCTGCCAGTATTCCATGGAAAACTTAATTTTCAGAGCATAATGACCCAATGAAGACAAACGGAAGTGATTATTGACGCACCGGTTTTCTATTCATAACCGCTGCGGTTGCGTGCAGTCATGACTTACATCACCATGAACCTGAAATGAGGGTTTAAAAGTCTAAAGGTAATCAGTGGGACTGTAATGTCAACATAACCTACTGCATTGTTGCAGTCTATATACTGTACTATGTGAAAAAGAAGTTCGAAATAGGAACAATTCGATATTCAACAAATCATACTGTAATAATATTTTCATCTTTGCTCTAAGCAAGGCTCGCTCCATTTGCAGAAAAGGTTTCAAATTAGTTGTCACTGTTAGCTTAGAAAAAAGATAATTTCAGCGTAGTCTGCTTAATAATATAGAAATAACACCTTATAGAAACTGAGAGTAATGATTGTCACGAGAAAAATCATCAACTATGTTGGTAGAACTTCTAGTAAATTTCCACCTTTGTCCAGATTAGTTTAGTCATTATTGACGCATTCTCGTCATACAACCACCATAATTAAGTTTTTTGTTCTATCATTCTATAACATATTATATATTACGTATATCAGCGTGGGAAGTAATCGGAATTACGTCGATGACGTTACATCTGAAACTTCACTTAAATGCTCAATTGCAAATAACTGCAATTAATGCTTTATTCAAAATGCTATGCTGCCTCACAAGTGTTTACTTTAAAAATCTTAAATTATGAACTAAGTTATCAGGAAGAGAGTCCACATTTAGTAGAAGTGATCATAATGAACGAAGCATTTCTTCTGTTGGCGAAAATTAGAAGAATCCATTGTGTGGCCCATTTAGAGCGTCCAATTCGATCGTAAAGCGGAAAATAGTCTCGTAAATAGGATTAAATCACCTATTGCAGACGAATTTATAGATTCCTTCAATATCCAAGTGATTTAGCAATATGTGCATCGATTTATATTTAAATATGATATTGTAAAGCCATCATTACATACAAATCCCTATAGATTTAAAGATAATCAAAGGTGACGTAAAAGAGAAAAATTAACCTCTATTTTCTAATCATTGTATGAATGTAAAATAGTCAATCACATAATGCTCAATGGTCGCTCATGGTCTCTTCTTGTAATGATATCCAACCTGACTAAAACACAATTCATTACAATGCAAAATGGCAAAGGCCTAATATACTATTTTTCGTTGGTTGATCACAGGTACGATTTACGCCTATCTACTTGATATATGAGTACGTTTTATGATCATATCGTTTCAAATAAACTTGAATGCCCCTCACTTACCTACTTGAATAGTTATGATATAATACAAATCCTGATTATAATAGATCTTACTGAAGAAGGGTAAATTAAATGTGAAAAATGATTGCGTTTATGTAAGTAAGCCAGTAGTCATAACTGTGCGAGTAAAATTAATATGTTGTCAGAGAATTCAATGGACTTTGGGAATAATGGGGACATGGTTTTGAATACCTGATTGATATACACAGGATAAAATCAAAATGAAATGTACTTCTTCATGTACGTTAGTTCCGTGAAATTCATTAGACATCTCGCAGATGTCTTTTTCTGATCTGAATGATTTTAACTGCTTCGAGTCTCCTTGTGGTAACCGGTTCTTACTGGCGTATTATCCACATTCATGATTCATAACATGAAGTAACTATAGTTCAGTAGCTGTCGGCATTTAAGTAGTCGCGTTTAACTTTGGTCTGAGGTGAATTTACTTATTTCTTGATAAAAGCGCGTTATTTAGTTTTGAGGAAATCTTAGCAAAGTTTCGTGAAATTTAGTGAATTTCGCTATTTTTTCATAATCCTCAGTAATTCCTGGATAAAATATGCTATAATGTCACATATATATTTTAAAATCAGGACCCTGCATAACCTTTGATGAATTGAGATGAGAAACATCCAATTCAATCTACGGATTCATTTTTAATATTGTGATTTCCCAACTACAATGGCTCATGATCGGGGTAGCATGCAAGTCGGTAGATTGTCAAAGTTTAAAAAAAAGCTTTAATGCCGTTGAAGGCATTCTGCGAAGTAACGCCTCAAAATCCTCGCCCTCGCCCACCTTGTTAACGATCGATCAACTGCTCGGTTACTCAATTAGTGTGACGCCCAATATACATGATTGCAATATGCAATAATTACAATACCGTAGTGATGTGATTTATTACCAATGCTTTGATTTGATAACGATAAATTCACCTTATATTGCTGATGCTTGTTCGAATGATAACGGTTCACACCCATTATAAGTGTACATATATTTAAAGAAGGTTTATTCAGTTCTAAAAACAAAGAACATCATGATAGAAAAAGGCAATATTTGTTTATTGTTTAGTAAAATTACCAAACGTTATCGGTTACATATTATATAACTGGAAAATGTTGGCATCTCTAATTCGATTATCAAAATAAATTCATCGCACGGAGTAGAGATAGCTTACTCATATTTTGTAATATATTGTGCAAATGACTTATTTGATCGTAAGATATAGTATAGCTGAAAATGGAATGGGATTTTCCATTATAGGATATAAAAGAGACACCACCACAATGCCACCGTAAGTTGTTACAAAAGTAAAAAGTTATTGGTGGCGAGAAATCGGACGCAGATAAATGTAATTTTTGTGTCCATTTATAGACACTATTATTTTCACTATATAGCAGAAGGTGTAATTTTTGAATTCACTGTTACTTTAACCCACGCAAACAAATAAGGTAAACATATATATATGACGGTATTGTCATGATTCAGAGAATATTTAATAAGTCGATGCGCATTTGCCGAATTAAACATGGAATTAACGAATCTCTTAACGATACCATACAAAAAGGAATATCATGACAATTAACATAATGACGCACGACACATTGACTGCAATAGCTGCCCATTTCTTTTCTGTGATATCTGTAATCTGCATGATTGGAATTTCATTTTTAGGTTGGGTGTCGTCGAGGCCACAAAATATATCGAATCCCTTCCTTACACAAGATTTGTCTTCGTCTGTCAAGCAATGTATAATATAATTAGGAGTGTGAAACATATAAAATTATATAGTCAGAGAGTCCAAATTATATTTACAATACACATGAGTAATATGTATAAAAGTAGGTAGTAGAGTAAATGAGATATAGAAAAGGATAGAATCGTATGCATGTATACCTTGTGGTGGACTGCTGGACGTTTCTGTCTTTCCTACTCCCGGTAGTTCGCCAACAGTCTCGCCGTCGTCATTTTCCATAGCAGGATTTGTAACTCCCATTTCAATCTAATGCATATATTGGGTCAAAAAGAATATTATAAAATAACGCTATATATATGAATATAATATACTACAATACTAAAGTTTCGAACTACAATAAAGCCTCGCTCCCGTATCCCATGATTGTAAACTCAAAATACAGAAAAACAAATTTACATTTGATAGAGCTTTTCCTTCACTTTTATATATCGGTATTCTCTTTGTTTTACTGTGTCTTGTGTACCATGTGAGTCTGTAAAGCTGAAAGTAATTTGACAATTAAAGATTAATTTCGGAATAGTATATATAGAGTAAAGTAGTATAAGCACCAATAATACTCACATGTTCCTTGGGAATAGGAGGAGTGAGAAGACTCACAATAACTGCTATAATGAGAGTACACCCGGCCAATATCAGAGCGAAATGTAAATAGTGAATCTGAAATGATGAATTGACAGCTATTTTTTTTATTATATATATTGAGTGATTCGATAACTGAGTTTGTTCGGATGAAACAGAATAAAATTTGTGAAAGTGAAATGCAAGATATTTGAGCCATTCAATATCTTTGATTCACATTTTGATTCTTGCTACAGTATTCTTGCAGTCGGTACATACGGACTCACTAATACATAGGCATAACTCTCTGAAAATTAATCAGTAATTTACAGTGTCTAGTTGGAAAGAACATTCAAACGACACATGAAACCACAGAAATGAAATAAGCAATGAAAGTCCACCAAATATAATAGGTATTGTATACGAAATGATGATGACATCAAGTTAACAATGCGCACTGTTGCGTGGTTCTGTGATCACATCTCAGTTATCTGGTGGTCCGAGCACCGGGACTGGGTAAATTTTGAAAATGCTTTGTTTTGGATTTCGTGTCCATATTTTTTTTTTGCATTGCTGTTTTGTTGTATTAAGGTATGAGAAAATGTTTGTCATCGGATGAAGATAACTGACTTGTGAAAAAAGCAGTATCGTGAACGTTATATTGGTTGAATAATTTTTTATACTGAATTCAGGCTGTTTTGCATTTCGTGCATAGTACTAAAATGACAATATATATACTACAATTAATAATTTAAAGTAATTATAGCATTACTTTATATATCACTGATGGCCTGAATTCTTCTTCTCCGCACAATGGCGCTCCATAGGCAAAATCGAGAATCATTCTGATGAGTCCAATTACGAGACCTATCATGAGAGCCCAAAAAGCACCCTGAAATGAAATGAATTCAATAATAAATCAAGTAGTGTCTGAAGAGAAATAGAGAACAAACACATTATAACCTAGTCTAAAGAAAGAGATTATGAACTTCCAAGTAAGTTCATGTTTGTTATGATACGTTCAGGGGCGAAACAAAACATTGCAATCGCGTTGGGACAATTGCATGATGCCAGTAATATTTCAGTACCCAAGTTTGATAAGTGATATAAAATAAGAACAACTTCTTTGCGAAATTAATACTGATGGAAAATGAAGTAGTCATTGTGAACACGCAATTTATACAGTCAATATACAGTCCACATCGTGGTATATTCATCGCCTGTAATTCAACAACATAGATCATATAACGAAAGTCTTTTAAACACGTGAATTATGGAATATGTTTTCACGGTACTCCCGTAGTATGTGAACCAAGATGGCGGACGAAGTTAGGGTTAGGCCATAATTTCAGGTACAAATACTACGGGAGTCACTTGGCTATAGTCCCCGAACTCGTAATAGAACTAAACTAAAGAAAATTGTACTAAAATTATGTCCCAACCCTAACCTGGTACCCATACTATGTTCAGGTGTCCGCCAACTTGGTTCACATACTACGGGAGCGCCGTAACTCTTCAAAGAGTTTGCGAAAGCCCAAACAGTACTTCGAAAATACGGTAGTCTAATGTCAACAGCAATAACATGACAGATATCCACTCACCGGTTCATTTAATCGTGGCCAAAATATTGCCAAGACAAAAATGACAGCAATCGGTGGTCCCAAATAACTGGTTATAGATTGGATGTAATCGAACAATTGTCCTCCAGCCGCTACTTGAACAATCGGTACCCAAGCTATGCTGATTCCAACCATGACCAATATGAATACCCTAAAGCAGATTAGATAACGCATAAGATTATTGGACACGAAATGTACATATGGATAATTTTTTTTATATGTTGTTCTTGTTGTTGTTAGTATTTTTCTGCTTATCGTAATGAACAAATCGCTTTTCTCATTAACTACTGAACCAATTGCTGTGAAATTGTCAGTGGTTGCAGACTGCATTTTTTGCTAGAAGGCTATTACTTTTATTTATTTCAAAACTTCCTGCAGGCTCTATGCCTATGGGATTCGTTTTTTCAAGTGCGATGACGTCAACAAAACTAAAAAATGCGCACCATGCCGTGGTTCTGTAACTGAATTTCAGTGGTCGTGGTGAGACTATACCGGTACAGTAAAAGATTAGATGCTACTTTATTTTAGCATTCGTGTCCATATTTGAGCATAGCTCTCTAGTTACTTTATCACAAAAAGATACATACGATGAAGTGCTCTAATAATCACGACAGGAAATACCGATGAAAAAAAAAACAGTTTCGTTGACAGAATGGGTTGCAATACCTTCCAACAATCATTAGTTCTCTTTGAGAAGCTTTCTTTCTGATTTTTGTCCATATGTCGCATGTAAAGAGAGTTGATGCACTGTTGAAGACGGACGTCAGTGAGGACATGAGAGCAGCCATCATGACCGCAAGCATGAGACCTTTAAAATAAAAAATAAAAACGTGGAATAATATCTACATGCTATATTGCGAATTTGCTTTCAGGAAATACCTCATAAATTTAGTATTAGATGGCAGCAGCAGTCGTAGGTTACACTTTCACAAAGAAAAGTGACGCAAGTTCAGCTTTTTCAGATTTTATATCATAGTCAATGTTGCAGGTGACATATAAACAAACGTATACAAACGACTAAATAAATCAAATTCTTTTCTTCTGGAAATATAGTAATAAATTTAACCTAGGCATTCTCCCATTTTCAGTTCGATTTTGATTCGAAACTTGGATAAAAAAAAAAGAAAACAACCTATTTTTACCTCGAAGACCCACAGGCAGTATTTTGATGACAAGTTTCGGATAAGCTACATTACTGCAACCAACTTTCGCTCCACAATGTTTCATACATTCATCTGGATCAACGCAAGCTACTTCATCTGAAAAGTGATTGAACAGAGGATAGTAAACAAAGATAATGCATTTTGGGGTTTTATTTCCAAGTTAGTTTCATAAATCTTATAGTAATATTGTATATATAAATTGTGTGTTAATTTGTCTCACTTCCCATACTTTGCAGACAAACAATAAATATATATATATAAATGTATATTATATATATGAGATTATCAATTTAAAGACATTTTCACGTATCTATTTTCCGAAACTTTGTGCATAGCTTGGTGTCTAAAAACATTTTTAGGTTACCTTTAAATTCTACTCGACTAATCATTCCAACCATAACCATCATATACATTGGTAATATTTTCAACAATCCGGCCATTACACAACCTCCTTTTGCATGTGACAAGTTTTTCGCAGCAAGGGTTCGTTGTACGATAACCTGAGGTAATAAACAGAAATTTTCAGTGGTTTATGACGAGGAATGGCGTTGACAGAATTTAGATTTTTCACATTTATCCGAGGCAGAGGAAGAACGAATAGAATAGGCGGCTTAATCTTTTACTGGATCATAGTTTCTTCCGGTCATCAGTACAGGTCGTGCATGGGAATAGCAAACCCGTTATTTGAGAATTAATAGTCCACTTCTTGGTGAAGATTTATTTGATATCCTAGACGCGACGTAACGCAAACCCTGCTCACAAACTATCAGAACCTAGTTTGTGAGTTTACAGTAATTTTTTTAGAAAATGATGTGATTTATTCAATCAGTAATTTTATTGTACGATCTGACAAATATCGATTTGATTCAGATTCGGTCAGACCATCTACAAATAACTTTGATTCATATATTTAGGTACGTGTATACAAGTGTTACACAATCAATCAGTTAGATAGTTATCATTATTTAGCTCCAGAAAACCAGGTACCTGATCTGTGCACCAGTACCAGGTGGCAAGAATTGTGAGACCAAACGTCAGTCCAGGCCAAGGTAAATCACCAGTTGCTGCGTCCCGAAACACGCTGAAAGAGTCAGATCTCGGGTGCCCACACGTGGTGTTCGCAATCAATATTGATGGAGTAGCGTTCATATATTTTGTAACTAACGCATCATATCCTTCAACTCTTGCAAAAGCTATAAAAAATGATTACAACTTTTTTGAACTGTTTTGTAACTGGGTGAAACTATGATATTTTTTATATGCGTACAAAGTCGTATAATAGCTTTATGTTATAAGTATGAAAATAAACAAGAGGGTAATGTATACAGTATATATATCTACGGTATATTGATTTTTTGATTCAGCAATAGCTAGGTGATCGCCACCGCCGAATATGTACGACAATTTAGCAAAACTGTCCATAGGTTTAGTAAAATTTGGAAATTCTGACCAATAACCTTTAGCAATTCCCAATTCTTTCTCCCAATATGTTCTCAAAGTAACTTCTTCAAAAATTATCATTTTCGAACAGTCGCTTACTTTGGTGGAACTTTTTAAAGTTTCATGTAAATACGAAAATGTTTGAATATTTCACAAACATCTGAATATAAATTGACAATAAATATCATTACCCATAATCATCATCACGAATGCTCCAATCAGCATTATAAATGTCTGTGCTGTATCAGTGTATATAACAGCTGCCAAACCACCAGTAACTGTATATAATGCCGTTATTGCAAGTAGAAGTACCATTGCAAAATACAGATTCCAGTGCAAAGCTTCTCGAATAAAGACTGCTCCGGCAAAAAGATCAGCCTGCAAACAGAATTCTAGTAAACAACAGTATATATATGTAATGTGACAGTTTTTGTATTTTTACACTATGTTAGATTTGAAAGATTCTTATATATGGCTCACAATACATTCAATGATTTGGGAGAATATTTCTGTGATGAAATTAACAGCAATCAATTTTTATCGAAGCTTTTTACAAACATAAACTTTTCGAGACGATCGCCGACACAGTTCATTTTATTTTTCTAAAATGCGCAGTTTCGCCAGACGTGCCGTGTACACATATTTCGATGTCTATCCAATTACTTCGATCACTTTATTTACAACCCTTAACAATAGCATTCCAGTTTATATAGCAATTTGTTATTTGGTTTGTAATTGCTTGAATGTGTTTTTACAGGAACAATCATCAGAAAACACTCCCACTTTCGATTCTGTGTTCAGTATTATTTTTCGACAATATGTTGCATTTCTGTTCAATAAAATTGGAAACTTTGGACAAACGAGATCAATAAAAGTATTGCAAACGTTGTCACTGGAAAATACAAATTTATGTCGCTGGCGCAATGGATTATCAGAGCTCATACATTTTCATGACGTGTTGACGGTTCTAGAATAGGCTCGAATGTGAAGTCGTAACGATGTTTACCGTCTGAACAAAAGATTTGTTATTTGCGCCTGATTGGGTAAAGTTTTGGGTTTCAAAATGTTAAAAACAACAAGGTATACAAACATTGAGTCTATTTTCGAAGTCAATATGTATACTAGACAAAAACTATTTTCTATCAGTTAAATTTCCGATGAAAAACACAAAACAAGATCCGATCGCGCTTTTTTTATTATTTTAGTTTATTGTAGACATGTTAGACTATTAAGCATATTACATACCCTAACACTTTTGTTTTATAAACATCGAACAGTTAAAGTTGCCAAGCAACATTTTTTTAGCGCATGAATGATCCTCGCAAAAATTCCATCCAATGGATTTAGCCAGCGAACCGTAAACTTTTCAATATTTATATGCTGTGTCGTACTGTTGGAAAGAGATCGTAAAATCAGCTATATTTCATTGTTGATCCTTCTAATTTCACAATTCTCACCATGAAATTCTAATTTCCGAGCAAGCAATGAAGAAAAATAATTTCTTATTCGGGATTTGTTAACTGTATTAAGAAGACTTACCGATATTTTAGTAAAAATGTACAACAAGAGCGAAAGAACCGAAAGATACATTCGAATTCTTTGTCCCCCGAACCTCTCTCTCAGATATTCCGGCATTGTTACCACACCTGCTGCAATATAGATCGGAGCAAATATCCAACCCAGCAAAGTTAAGGTGATCATCGCCTGAAATAGTATACGTAGAAGTTAAAAAGAATGATGAATAATGAAAGAATGGCCGACACCGACCGAGAAAAACCAGAGAAAAAATATTGCAGAACACAGGAAAGTATAAAGAACTTCTACTATCTCACGTTCCACTCGAAAGCACCAACGGCTATTCCTGCCGCTGCTCCTGTGCCAGCTAGTCCGACAAAATGACCACTACCGATGTTACTGCTGAACAACGATGCTCCAACAGGAAACCAATTCATGTTTCTCCCAGCAAGGAAGAAACCATTGACATTTCCACGATTGGTCCTGCACATTGCCTGATAAATAAGAGTGAATTGAATTTTTTTATATATATAAAAGACTTTGCATTTATTTAAAACGATATTGGTTTTCTGCTGCACAAGGGTGAACTGGTATTGTTTTTTAAAGTATGCATTCAATTGTAATAACCACGACTTTCAAATGCAGTGAATCAAGAGGAAAGTAGACAAACGTACGTACCCGTTGTTTTATAGAGAATTTATATTCTTCAGTTTCAAAATTCAAAACAACAAGTATCATGCATTGTGTGTAATATTATTATCTATTTTAATAAAGCATCATTTCTTTCAACTCACCCATATTCCAACGGCAATAATAAAAATGAAGTAGACAACAATAACAGCAATATCTCCAGGCTCCAGATTCGCCGTCTGCGGAAGCGATGCAAGAGTTGTCTCGGAAATGACCGATGAAGAAGTGGTTTGATCCATTGTTGAAACGGATTATTTCTAAGTTTAATTATGACGAAACCATTACATTCCTTAACATAGAATATAATATTTTAATTCATTATGGATAAATTACGTGATTGTATAATTTTAAATCAATGTTAGTAAATATTTTTTGCTTACGACTGCTACTTTTTGAAGAATATATACCTAATATAAACAGACTTTTACATCCCGAATAATATGCCGCATTTTGGAAACCTTGACTCTCTCACCTAAAGAAAATCTTGCACAAAACGCTTGCATTTTAAATAAAGGAGACTAGGCTGAATAAAAGATATTGTTATAGTCTTGAACGATTGATTGAACAGGTTATATCAAATTTACAATCATATAGCCCGCGGGTTTCAAAGTAAGTTTTTTATACTGAAATATGATCTGGAGTATATAAATAAAAAGTTTATATTATGGCCGAAGGAGTAGCGGTCAGACAACATTTATCTTGACCCAAAGCGATATTTAAACAAAAATTAAAGACTTATATAGTTATGCTCTCATAATGGCGTCAAACGACCTTCAATTCTACTAAAAATCTGACTGGAAAAGTATTGAATTATATTTTGTGTACCTACCGCACTTATCGTATGTATACTGGTATATATTTACAACATCTGATATAAAAATATAAAATCGAAAATTTCTGCGACATACATTCTGTTTCGCCTTCATATGATTTGTCGCCCGTATTTGCTTAATTAAATGATCATTCCTAGTAATATTGGCCACAATCCAAAATCCGGCATCCTGTGCAGTTCAGATTTGCAATAAGCAGATGTAACTTAGACAATAAATTCTTTTATTATAGAAGTATAATCATGAGGCCCTAATTGTGTTTTATCATTTCGAAATCCCTTGGTTTTTTTAAACTATTTTTTCTGTCAATCTTTTAACTAATTAATAAGAGATATATATTACATTTTTCACATTTGCTTTAAAATCCTTCTGCATATTCACAAGTTGATCCAGACTCGTAATACTGTACAGTGTGTAACCCAATGAAAGCAATTGCTAAACAAGACGATATAAAGTTTACCTAGCGCGGAAAAAAGGTAATTTTGACTATATCACAATGTTACGTAGAATGACACACTGTTCTTTACGGTGTATAGAGTTATGCTCAAGGCAAAAGAATCCTGTTTTCCGCTGTTTGAATTAAATATCTATTACTTGTCTTACAACATTTCTATGCATTCGCTGCAATCTCAATACTCTATGTTTAAATCTACAATCTGTTTAAACTTGTTGTGAAAAACAAGAGTACGACTTACAATGATGTTTTCTATATCAGTATGATTCAATCAGTCAGTGTTTCTGTTCTAACCATACAAATACGACGAATGACCACAAACCCGTAAGAAGAACTCTTTTTGAATTATTGTATATAAGCCATACTTGACACAACAACGTTTTGTCGTTGAACCACGTCACCACTCGACGGCAAGTCCGCGTTCAATTCCTATTATGTATAGATTATTGAGTTTAGATACTTTTGTTATTTTTCACAGAACACAACGGCTTACAATAAACACAATTCGCGTTTTTTGTCACAACTCGGATTTACAATCTGACTCAAATGGCATTTCTCCATCAAAACATTATTAATCTAATATCATTTCCACAAAAATTCCCGCGGGCCAAGATAGTCATAAACCACAGATTGACACAGCCCGCCATACAACATTGTTAACTTTATTTATTCCAGTATATAACTTATTATTATATCTGAAAGGGATTTAAAAGATTTGAAACTCAACTTGCTCATTGTATCTGCACCTTAGTTCATACAATATAATTTGGGTGCGTCTCATTCTTGCTAATCATTCATTAATACATAACTAAAATCACCCATGCATGTATATTTAAGCTAGCGTTCTTCAAAATCTCGTTTCGAAACAAACTGTCTCATTATAATGATTGGTAATGTTTTAACAACGTCCTTAGCAACGGTTCGGTAGCATCATACTGTTGAAAAGTCTATGATGTTCAAAATTTTTTTGCCGTAATTACTATTTTTTATGGAATGGGACTCTATCGGATGTAAAATTTTCTGATCAAATTGTTAACGATTTTGTAAGTAAATTGATTAGATGTTCATATTATTTTTTCGTCATGCCACATATTCACCTAGAATTTAAATTTTAGATTGCTCTATTTTATATTTCTGCGGAATTTTAGACGCATAAATGAAAACCTGATTCGTTTAAAGTAACTGGAATAACTCAACCGAGTCCTGTTTAGTGTACATACAAAAATTGAGACGTATTTGTGGTTTCAGTGGTTTAGTCTGTTTTTCACAACAAAAGTTGTCTGGTGTAGTAAAAATATTTTGTCTAACGCATTGGAAAGATTAGAAGTCATAGCTTGGATACATACCAGCCCCAATGTTTAACTTATACACGATTTGTGCGTATTCAGCATATTGGTATTGAGAATTTATTAAAAAGTAATTTTATTTGCAAAATAGCGACATCATAATATGTTAATTTGTCACTACGATATTTTTAACGAAATCACTAGCTAAGTTTGGGATAGCCATTCTACAACTTATATTATTGCCAATAATGATTCATGCATTAACTTATATTTTAACTCATATCTAGAATTAAAATGATGCAACTATTCTGTAGAGTAACAAGTTACAAATCGTGACCTCAATTTGATGCTGCTTTTCAACTTGAAGGTTTAAATACATTATTAGACATCTTTAAAATCTGAGTTTAACCAATAAATTTTTGGAAAGATTTTCTAAAATGCTATGGTGATTATTTTGGAATAAACGACACACAAACATTCAGTATAAATTATTTTATTTACTATCCTACCGTTAATAATTTTCTATACTTAAAAAAATCCATGTATTGGTTGCAGCAACAAATTTTCAAAGATGAATTATAAATAAGAAATAATTTAATCATATATTTTTTTTCACATACACGCGACTAACTTCAAATCAAAATCTTCGTTATCAGCACTCAAACTTTATTTTATCTATTATATCTCTTTCGAATAATATGTCAAATTTCTGTTTCCAGTTCTACTCATACTCATAATAACCATTCTTTTCTTCGCCTGGAAATCAGTTATTATGCAATATGAAGTAATCTAAAAGCATCGTGAGCTATATCACAATCACGATGAGGCAATTGAAAGAAGTAGAACTTTTCAAATTGGTTTGTTTCTCTGTATAAACTAATACGTTGATAAATATGACACACGTCTTTATAGCAAATGATATTCATACCACATGCTTAACACTGTTGTTGAAGTCTGAATTCTGAAGTAACCAAATCGGTTTAGGAACTATTGCTAGGATGCAAAAACCGTTTTTATTCGCTTTGTTTATACGATGAGCCCACAAAGTCACGGACCATGAATAATTGTCAATCTTGAAAGATAAGTCCCGCTTTTAAGTGGTTTTTCTAACAACACTTCAGAGCGTATTGTTTTCCATTCGTACCCACGCATGCTATCGATGAATACAATTCATGGGATTTGGATTCTGGCTTGAGTATCATTAGCACATAAAAATACCAATTACGAAGATAAACCTTAAAAAAGTTTTCAAGTTTGAACACCATAAACAACTTATTCGATAAAGTGTCACAAAATCAAACCCTGTTTGATCTGTTACTAACCTGAAAATTAAATTTGTATAAAAAATTACGGATATAGATCAATGTCAGTGCATTGCTCACACTTTCTGGCGATGCGCCATATCACCGAGAGTGTTTGTGTGAGGAAGTATATTTCATTGTATTGAGTAAGAATACAAGATCATTTAATTATCCCACAGAATGTTTTAATAGCGTTACAAAGCAGAATGATCAAGTATATAAAATCGTATAGGGATAGCCTGAACTAACTGATATTTCCGTATCTGGCAGGCATATCATAGGGGAGAGACAGAATTGCAATGCATTGCACAACAAGCATCAAGTTTGCGACATCATTGCATAATTGTTTACTGTATTCCAGATCATTTACTATTTATATTTCTCAGCACTACTATTGGTATGCAAGTGTTATTGAAATTAGAGTGGCAATTCCTGTAATGGTAGTTACACACTTTGTAACCATGAGTGAAATCAACAAAATATTAGACAAAACGATCAATACTTTCTTGTCGTGTCCAATGGATGTTTCCCCGACCTTGAATATCATTGAGTTATTTAAGTCGTGTCATTATTTTACATCGTCATACCTCAAAAACAGGGGCGTAGCCAAAAGAGTAACGTTAATCTGAATAAATATGTGCTTGTTTTTGTTATTGAGTAGGCCTAATAAAAGTTGAGAATTAGCTGTGCCAATAAAACATCAAAAATGCATATTTCTGTAAAACGTGCAACTTTTGGAAGTGGGAACAAGGCAATATTTGTTACTATTTTTTTAAGGAACATTTTAAAATCATTTTCAGGTAGTTACCTGATGTGCGCTACGAAACTCACTTTCTAGGCGTTTTTCAGGTCCTCGGCTCGCGGCCTATATGTTTCGAGGCGCACTCAGCAAATCGCCTTCGGAAACCGCTAGTCTAACTTAATTAATTAAACCGTATACAAGCACCCGCAAATCGGGTCTTACGATCAGAATATGCATTGTTATGCAAGCGCAATGATTCTACCGTGTTTCCCCGAGGATGAGACCAAGCCTGAATTTTAAAAAGGATTTAAAAAAGACTTAGTCGAAAGCGCAACTTTTTTTTACTTAATCCCGTGGAAGTGCGTCGTTTCAATTTTGCTAGGGCGTCGCAATACAATGAAGTTCGAGAACCACTGAGTCCCAATCAATAGCAAGAAATTTTCCACTTCTTCCACGTTTTAAATGTTTAATTTATTCGTTTGTAGCAGTTATTTTAAATAAAAACGTGCTATTCATAGGTAAATGGAAAAGGGCATTCATATTTTGTATGATAAAAAATCTCGTTATTCTCTATCCCAAAAATATGCCATAGTGTTATTTTCGAAAGAAAATTGAAGACAGTGTCTTATTTTTGGAGAAACACAGTATTATGATGATGTATTCACTCGGAATCGTGAAATTTTTGTTTTACACTCATTTTTGTTTTACACACCTTTTCCCGACCTTTGACCCCCGGAAAATTCTCTCTATACTTCACCATTGCAAAATTTTCGGGGCTATTTTAAGAATGCTTTTGCGAGTTGGCGCCTGTAAAATGGGGTATGTGTTTCAAACCAACATTATGATTCATCGCATACAACAATCTGTTTTTTAAAAGTACCGGTAAAGAATTTCACGCTAGTCTATCACAGCTATTTCTACACTAATTTTTATTACTGCAATTGAATCAAAACTCCTAGGAAGACAGAGTGATCATTGAATTATCTGATTTTTATTCAAGTTTCCGAAACACAACTGAAAACTAACGAATAGAGTTCAAAAACGCGAAAACGAGGTAATGTTTACAACCACGCTTGAAAATCTGTCTGAGTGAGAAAAGTGTCTGAGCGGATGCCTAAAGGGGGCATTGTTACGTCACGTTTTGCATCTTACTGATAGGCCAATGTCACGAAGTAAACAAGGAAGTCGATGCTCGGGGAAAGGTCCATTTTAATAATTGTATTTCAAATCACGAGTCTGAAAAAGTACAATAGATATGGTACATTGTGTAAAATTGGTGTTCTCTTTGCAGCCCCTAAAATTTGTTTCGCGGCCCCTAGTTAGGGAAGCCCTGTTCTAACTAACTTGACAATTAGAAATTTCAGACCCCTCCTTGAAAATTCCAGGCCACGACCCTGCTCAAAATCTATCTGAGTGGAAAAGTGTATGAGTGGCCTCAAAAATTTTAATTGTACCGTCATCAGGAAACTTGTTGTTTAACCATGCAACTGAGCCGATGTTCTGTGAAACATCTGAATAAGGCCATAGCATAGAGCCATAGACTATAGAGCAAAGTGTTTTTTAAGTTTTAAATTTGAAAAAGAAACTTCAGTTTCATAAACTGCTAGTAAAAAATAGTGGGGTTATTAATAGGTTGCTAATATGCACTAATGGGTGGGAGATTGTATACCGATATTGTTTTGAGCGTGATTCAGTTTGAATACCGAGATATCTAGATCAGGGTTTCCCAAACTGGCGGGCGAGAGGTCGAGCGACGAATTTTAGGGTCGCGAAGGGCACACCAATTTTACAATAAGTTCGATATTTATTGAAACTAGTGCAAAACATAAATCTCACGATTTCTAATATGATCGGTGTAGCGGCGCGCTTGCATAAATAACAATGTAACAAAAGTAACAATAACAAAGATGGCCGTATGTTGTGCAGGCCTGCTATAGAGCCATAGACAATCAATCAATGCAGCTCAATTTGTAAATGCGACTCCCTGGGTGGCGATGAAGAGCTGTCAACAAACGCTGCGATAGTAATTAATTGCATTCGCAGTTACGCTTGCATTTGCAGGTGGTTTTGCAGTGCGTAAGCAGTTGGTACTAGCTATTACACTTGTTACATCCAGTGTATCTGTTATATCTAACAAGGAAACTCGGGAGATTGAGGAACAATTCGTGGATTACGCCTACGGCATTTGAGAGCGAGCATTATTTCAACTTCTGGACTTTCAGCAATGGTTTTGGTAAGTTGAAGACGATTTTAATTTTGGAATTCTTCATTTTTTGTTTGCTTCAATCAGTTGATTGAATACGTCGCCTAAACTTGTACCGGTATCTGTAGGCCCTGACGCCTTTTAAACTGATTACTACAGATCTATGATGCTCATTTTTCCAGTTTGCAAATTTGTAACACTATTTCGAGGGGTAGCCTATGTCTATAACCTCAAGCGTGCAGACATGTAATAAGTTTTATCATAATCAGCAAGTAAAGTTGATGTGACATTACTGATAGCTGGAAAGAAAAATCGGTGCTACAGTGATTTTAGTTATGGTTTGGGTCAGGAACTGAATTGGTTCCACTGCGACTGCGGTATGAGATTGAGATACCGTTAAGCAAGTTAGATTGCATACCAAAGTGACATAGAATTATCTCATGCTATTTTCTGATTTCAGTAACAGGAATGCTGAGAGCTCTAATCTATTTATTTACATGACTAATGATTTTTCAGGGTAATGGTTCAAAACAATGGATTCATCCGTCAGAAAGTTTAATTAATGGAAGAGTGACATACACTGTCAAAGTGAGTTTATGCTTCATAGGTCCAATGTGCCAACTATTGGAGTTGTATTCTTTCTTTATTCTAGATGAAAATAGGTGTATGATTTCAGTATAGTATCTAGTATATCACTGATGAATATATAAAATGAGTTACTAATATTTGATTGTTATTTACTTATTTTTGCCCAAATCGACAATTTCTTACTCCGGTATTGTTCAGTCTTATACTTGTAAATATGTACATTTTATATTATTCAAAGCCTTGGAAGACTGGAAGATTTTTTTACTAAGCATATGTGATAAATTGACAATTTATTTGAAAGTAGTGACAGTAATCAATTAAAGTGCTATCTATTCATATACGCTGCTTATTTTTATTGCAGTTTATGGGTAAGGCTGAAGTGCCAGAACCTCGTGGAATGCCGATGGTAAAAGCAGCTCTCAAAAAATTAAGCTTTACAAGACAGATCAAGCGAACTGAGGGAACGAAACCACCCAAAGTTGAACTTGGAATCAATATTAATTATGTGACCATTTCAGATATTAAAAGCAAAGTAAGTACGGTATTAAATACTACTACAGAATTTTTATTCTGTACCCAATACATAACTCTGATCTGCTGAACTTTGGAATATACTTAAGTTTCCATGTCATCATTAAGTAATCTCTCTGGGGTTTGCTGGTTTGTATCTCATTATAATTATTGATCATGTTGAGAAGATAAATTGCCTTTTCAGTAGTTGATGAACAGTTATGGCATTTTTACCATTTATGTATATGGTTTTGGAATAAAAGTACAAGTTTATTTTGACTCCAGAATCATCATAACACGCGATGATTAATAAAAGCAAAAATACATAGAAACTGATTATGAAATCAGGAGAGCGAACAAAACATTAGATACAGATTATGAGATGGGAGGTTTCGCCAAAAAGAAGTGGTACGTGTTCACTCACCTAAAATTATTAGATTAATTCACACACGTACCCACACAACCACAGAGATATTATGAAGCAGGAAAAACACGATAAACTCCAGATAAAATATCGTACATAGTAAACAAGGATAATAAAAATAAATAAATAAAGATACTTGCCACACCGTATTCATAATTTTATAATGGTTGCCATGGGTAAACAGTAAAGAAAAACATTTATCAAAAAAATATCACCAAGCTGATTATAGTTTGACATTGAATCGAGTATCCTATCGACTTGATATCCTGAAATATTAGTACGGTATGTTTAAAACCTATTTTACATGCAAGAATGTTGCCACCCATAATCAATATATAAATTCAAAGTCCTCTGACTTGTTTTCTTCAACTTCAAGTGTATATTTGAGGTTCTAAATAGCTGGTTCAACTTATGATACTCATTGAATACCTCTTAATAATAACTCTAGTTGGGATATAATTTTATTTGCCTCAGAGGTAAATCTATGTGATGTAGAATAGTTGTTAATAAGGCATAGACTTCTATCTTTAATATTGTGAGTTAGGATTGTTCATTAGAATGAGTGCAATCAGTGTAATTTTGATTATTGAAATAACAACATATGCATCTTTGTGTCTTATGTTTGAGTGGCATTATGGATAGACCGATTATATTTATTTTGTGTCATTCAGTCAACAACCAAATCATACATGATACAATATATATTTATTTTTAATGAGGTAATGCATCAGTCACAACACATCATCACCTGTTTGCTAGAAACATCGCTATCACGCCTATCAGTCATATTTTAGCTGGACTATTTATATATTGTGGGGTGGTTGGGGCTTCTTGCATTGTGACGTTTTTGTGTAACTGTGATTTCTTCTACTTATCCTGTTCAGACACCACTTCTTTTCATCTTTATCCTGTTTTATCATTTTTCCATGGGCGTGTATACAAAGTTCCAGGAGATCCAATATGCCAAAATAGGATATAGTGGTAACGACCTCGATTTAAGAGATTTCCAATTAAGGCCATTTCGTTATTTAACATTTAGCATTAAACTTTTAATATTTTACAATTTAAATTCCAACTTTTTTGAAAGAAATGGTGTGATTATTACAGCCTTATATTTTTCGTTGCCGTTGTCTTGGTAACCACTGCTCATGATAATAAAATTCATAGTCAAACGTATTTCGAGTTCGTCAAAATTCTTTTGCCTGACTTTCACTAAATTTTATCCAGTCTGTTTTGATTCTTGGTACAAAGGCAGGGAGAAAAAAGAAGTATAGAGATGCACGACAACTAACCCATCAACCATACGGCCAATTTTACATATTTAATCATTACTGTGAAATCCATGTTAAAATACGATTTTTTTTTCATCGCTGGTTGTCAATCTCCAGATTAATTACATTGAATACTTTGATCTCTTAGAACTCCCGATGGGAATACGGAGTGGAGTCTCTCACTTATTCGGAATGTGACCGGCCATTGATAACGTCTTGCCTTTTAAATCTTGCGCGAGATAAAATTACTTGGCATTTTCATGTATATATCATATTAGCAGGGCAATGTTTTCGCATACACACGCGTTCTTACGAAACAGGGCGTGGGGAGCGCCAATAAATTGTCGATATATCCTGACTGGAGATAATGTAATATAGAGGTTTCCAGATTGTTTTGCCGTAAAGTACAAAAATAATGATTATTTAATCAGATAATGTATTAAAGATACGTTTATTCAAAACAGCACTAGCACAATTGTTGTGAATCACCGTTCCCCGAACTTGACTATTTTTTCGAAGCCATTTTGTTTTATTCATTTTCCTATTATCGGAAAGAAAGTGTTGGCGGAAACTTGCCAAAAACAGTTCAAGCGGTTTTAGTAAATGGATTTTCAACTTCAATTGAATTACGGAAAATCGAGGAAGTAGCACCAGAAGTGAAGATTGACGAAAAACGGACTGTTAAACTGTTAAACAACTCTTCTATGATCAACAGAATTCCCATCGGGATGTTTACACCGCGTTCTTGAACCTTTACTCATTCGCATACGAGTAATAGCTTTTAAAGTCCTTTCCCCATATGACGTCATGACTACCGTCGCGGTCAAACTAAATTAATTATTTTGCACTAGATGCCAATAAGAATGCAGCTTCGATAATGCCCTACCAATCTTGCCGCAAAAGTGACATCTCCTTTCAGGTGTTTTGCCAAAATAAATACGATATTTGACGGAGTTGTTGTCGATGTATTCGTGAAAAGAGTACATGCACATATTCTAAAATGAATATTATATTTTTGTGATACAAACAAAAGCATGTTTGTTAGCAAGCACGCCGGCCAGGAAAAAGAATCGTGGATACTCCCAGTGGGATAGGTAACAGCATATCGGCGTGTGCCTGTATTTTCCCGATAGTTCATATCGTGGTGTGCAGAACATATCGTATATGCAGGGATTTATTTCACTTTTGATATTAGAAGTTTTAAATGTTTCAGAAAATGATACCTGTAAATCAATAAAAGTCGTGTTGATAATGGGTAGATTTTTATGTTTTCCCTGTCGGTATTAGTTGTGTGTTGTTCGCCTTTTATGTATCATATCTTCATGTACATTTTGGTCATGTGATCAGCTTTTTTATCGCGCGTAGAGTGAAGTGGTGAACAATAAAAGCTCCGACTCATATCACTGTCTTGAAAGTGGTGTTACATATTGCTGACATCAAATGTTGAGAAACTATGAATTATAGTTTTTTTTGACCCAGTTAATAGAACAAGTTAACAGTCGTGGGAGGTCATACTGAAAAGTACACTCGCGATAAAGTATAAACAGAATGCAATATTTGTTTTTATGCATTGTGAAGAAGATATCAAAAATTTCAGCACTAGGGAGCTACCACAAGAAAAGATTCGACCGTCATTGGTATTATAGCATAGAACAGATTATTCAAAACATAGTTGTGTGCAACGATTATTCGGCAAAGCATGCAGTTTTATTTGATGTGACCACCAAGCGTCTATTTTCGTAACTCAGATGCACTTCAACGTCAGAAATTATTTTCTTTCCGTCTCACGCCGGCATACGAACGGTTAAAACAAATGTATTTTTAGTCGCTGGACAAAGCGATTCACAAAATAATAACGAGGATTTCAAATATAACAGAAAATGTCTTTGACGGGAAGGCGAAATCCCGATTGTCGATTTAGGCAAGAATACTGATTACAGACATTACTGCCACCTTTAGTGAAGGAGGTAATTTATCATTTTTGAGATTTTTCGTCAGTTTTCAATTTTGAATGAACTCCGATTTTTCGAACTATATCTCTATGGGCTTAGCGTTTTAGCGGAAACGTTTTATTTTTCAAGGAGAACAGGGAGATCATCTCAGAAACCCTAATTTGAAAGAATCGTTCTGAAAAATATTTGCATCGACTCCAATATAGGTAATTAAATCACTTTTAATAAATGTCAAAAAAAAATACTAGATAACAGTTATCTCTTTACCACAATATGTTTTCGTAAACGTCTGTATTCGAATGGATAACGATACGCTAATAATTAAGCGGACTTTTATGTGGAATTGACGACAACCTTTTTGCACAGTTAATTTTCAGAAAATTATATTTTTTTGTATACTTGGGCGAATGACCACCATCATCACCAGCCGGTGCCATTCTTGGTCGTCATACATGGCGACTACTTCGTAAAAATAGTAAACTAAAATCATAAATATCTTTAAATATGCTCGGTTTAATTCTGCTTCTCAGATCGGTGTATGTGATAGATATGCGCAGTCAGTCATTAATTAAAAAGTTATCGCTGTGTTCTTATCCCTACCAAATGTGTACAATTTCGATTCAATTCCTTGCATTGGTTTTAATGCAACGCCTTATTTATGTCCATAATACTTGAGAAACATGTGGTTACGTGAACTCCCTGTACCCACTATTGCATAGTTCACGATCAATAACACAACAGATGCGTATAAGGTAATATGATGAAGTACTGAATTTTCAAGGCGACGATTATGTGCTAACGAGGTCGTTTCCTGGATACGATGACGACATCGGTCTACATCAAAACAGTTTATCCGATATTTGATACCTTTCGGAATGGTTGTATTATATATGTGTATTCTAAAAGAGACCTACATAGCAAATTCAAGGGTATCAAATGCGAATTATTTGATTCCAGAGAGTAAGAGCAAGTATAGAATTACGTTTGTTTTTGTATCTTTGTTAGATAAAAGGTTTTTGAGCAATCGGAGACGGCAATTCTGCATACTCACTTTTGTTTACAGAAGTTGAATTCTGTAAATATAGTATATTTAGGAATGGGTAGTTTTCAGCTTGAATATAGAAAACAAAAAGTGTTTCGATCTTTTTTTGTAAGAGAGTATATAGTGTTAGCCATTTTCAACAGTCTGATATCACACAATTATGCTGTGCAATGAATATGATTTAATGTAATAATTGAATCATTCTGCTACCAGTTTGAATTAAGAAAATGCACATTCAAATAAGTGGTACCAGGTAACCAGAAGATATACTTCATCAAACCAGAATTTGTTGCACAAGATCAAAACAATACATATCTTGTGCACAAAAATAGTTCTTGAGAATAATATTTACATGATATTAAGACATCCTGGGATAGGTCATTTTGAAGCATGTTAGGATATATTTTGCATTTCCGAATCTTATATTATGGGAGAGGGAAGTTGTAAACCTAACAGTGTATCGCAGCCTCTTATCTTTATATTGGTCTGTACTGGAAATTTAAATAGCTAAATATTGAATCACTCCGGATTACTTAGACTAGTTAAAATTCAATATGAAAATTTTTAAATATCGAAATTTTTATTCACATTTGAATAATTTGTGAAATATTTGAAATTAGTCACATAGAGGATTCGAAAAATGTTTTCCACTACAGATAAGAGAATCGTCTTCCAAAGGTGTATACATATATGGGTATCAGCATATAGGCTCTTTTTAATCTTTTTGTTATTGGATCGGCAATTATACAAGCTATCCATTGAAAGCAAAAAAGTTCTGTAAAAATAATGAAATGCCCATGGTTATAAAAAAATATTGACTTGCTTCATGCAAGTAATGGCAAGCTTATAATGTTGTGTTAATTAAAGTAAAAAGACAAATAAACACTGGTTAGAATAAAACCAACCTGGTTAACATTAACATATATTGATAACTGACCTAATGACAAAATTTAGATTATGACAGAATTTTATGCACACCCTGTATATCAACTTTCAACATAGATAATTGTGTGATGTTCTAGAATGCTTCCACTTGTTTCAATACCACCTAGCATTGAATCTGTTTTTAGCTATATTCTTTAATCTTTGACTTATTTTTTATGACATTATCAAAGTAATGTTAGCTTTAATTATTTGCAGGATATACTTCATAGAATTAATTTACAACGTGTTTCATTTTGTGCTGATGATAAAGAGGATAAACGTTTGTTTGCTTTCATTGCAAAACTTGATGACAATAAACATTACTGTTACGGTTTGGATTCCTTACATCAGGTAATAAAATGATTTGTAGTTTCATAGGTCCCATTTGTCCGTCTCAAAATGAACAGCAACCAATATTGGATAGTTTTAAATGAAATTTCTATTTCTAAATATGTTTATAATAACATATCTAGTACTCCAAAAATTGCCTCATTTGCTAATTTAGATGAGCAAATAATATGGTACTCCCGTGGCCGTAGTATGTGTATCAGGTTGTTAGAGTTAAGCCATAATTTTATTCCGATTTTCCTTATTTTAGTTCTATTACGAGTACGGGGACTGTTTGTGTTAGCCAAGTGAATATACCCCCTTTCGTCCCTTTACACAACTTGATGTAAAGTAGGCGAACAAAATTAGTTATCTCCATATTGGTACACATACTTCTGGAGCGCCAATAATAGCAATCAAATGGTTCACCTACATGATTGGATCACTACATCACTGAATATTGGAAAAAATACAACTTATTCTCTATCTGCGTACCATGCATTCCAGTAGTTGGACCAACTAAATGCTTTGGATCAGCATTTTGCTTGTCTCGGAATATTTTCACTAATTTTGAAGTCAAGAACGACATCTAATAATGTTATACTTATAATGAGTGTGATTCAAATTTCTTAGGCCAATGACATCACCCTCACCATTGGACAAGCCTTTGAGCTGGCATATGAAAAATTTGTAAAAGATAATCCATCTACACCAGGAACAAAAAAGGTAATTAATTATGCAATACAAGTTATATTCATCTCCATATTTGGTGACCAGCGCTTTTGCTTTCATGTGTCAATTATTACTAATGCTTTTCATCCATCAGTTTTATAATCCAGTGTTGCATTAGCAGAAATATAACTACCGGTATGTTTGAAGCTGTACAATGCAGATTCTAATTTGCAACTAAAGATGCTCATAAGATAAATAGATCATTTTAAAGTTCAATTTGGTATTGTTCATTCAAAATCCTCTGGTTGCAACAGCATGACAGTAGACTAACAACTTAATTTAGTAAATCATACTTTTTGTCATCTCAAAATGAGCAATATATACAAAAAGATAGATTAAATAATAATAGATTATAGTAATGTTTTTCATGATAACTACTATTTTTCTGTAAAGTATAATACTATATATAGAAATTGATATTTCGATTAATTTTTTTGTTTGAACTTATTACAGATTACAGAAATGAGTAAACGAATTCAAGACCTTGAATCAGAAAATGATGAATTACGTAAAAGGATCGCAGAATTAGAAGCAGTGCAACGAGCAAATGCAAATGGAAATGATCCTGTTCTGGTAATAACTCTATGAAACTTCGAATCTATAATTTAAATCATTTAGTTATGTGTCGCTTGTGGTTATGGGAGTAATTGTCATAACAGCTTTATTGGAGATTATAGGATTTTCAGAATATTTTTATAAATTTAGATATACCTAAAATAAAACAAACTCGGTTAGGATATATTGAAAATATATTATATTATTATACAATTGTAATTGATATAGGACTTTATGAACATCCTGTAAATAAAGCGGCATAAAAGCTAATGCTTCGAAATGTTTTGGATGCGATTTCTACCTCAACATTTTCTCTAAATCAAAAATAGTTTCTTGAAATATTGCATCCAAGGGCAACATTAAGAGTAGCAATTTATTAAATGTAGATATATGTACTTGGTATGCGCCATGGAAACAGTTTGTTTGTTGGAGTTTAATTTTCGATTTTTCAATCTAGATCGAAACTAAGCCTCGTTCTCCTCCGTCAATACCCCAAACTACAACCAATCCTGTCGTACCACGCAGAAGTCATCCCGTTCCAACACCAATAACCAGTCCTCGACAGGAAGCAATCGTAAGTGAAGTATTCCATTTTGTTCCTTGCCATCGTGTTTGGTCAAAGATACATGTTATGTTATGTATCTTACACCCTTATGTTCAGCATGACACTATCGATCGAGGTACCTGACTGGGAAATTGCGAATGAATCAGTTGAAACTTTAGTAATTGGTAATTGCCAAGGTGAAAATACTTCCTGCTTCCGTCTTTACTTCAAATCTTTAGTGATAAAGATTTCAATTTAAGTCAGCTTCTGTAGTAATATTATTAAAACCTTTTTATATGAAAATCGTTTAAAATAGAGTGAAAATGTTTTTGTGCTATTGATAAAGCAATGCATATGAGGCAGCGAGATAAAGTAAAAATCAGTTTTTTAAACAATGATACTACAAGATGGGGATAATGATTGGCACTAACAATGCACTTTATATATTTACTGACATAATATGATAGAGAGAACATGAAGGAAATGTTATTATTCTCTCAGGGTATAAACTAGGAATGATACATATGTTCACAATATGATTTCTTCTAGGCCATGGGGTCTTAGTATTTTCTTCTGTGTTCTATATCTATTTTAGCACTGCAGATTGCCGAATAAGGATCATTGGAGTTGTTCAGGCTTCTTATTAACTATGCATATCCCATTGCACAGGTTGTACTGTCCTGGGGAAAAGGGATAGCCTTATCCCAAACTTTAGCAAATTGTTACTTTAGGATGATTCTTTGCTTGTTAGTACCAAAAACATCTTGGAAATAAATAAGTGTGCTCGACTATATTGAGTATTTCAGAGTTGTATCAGAATATTGTCGAAATCTGTCTGTTATTCCTAATTATTCAGTTCAGGTGTTCTGAAATCTTGTGTATTTTTACTGGCATAATTGAGAATTAGTGATACTGAAAAAATAACAATACAATAATAAAGCCAATCACTCACGACAGTTCAATATGTTATTTTTTATCTGATTTTGAATATTGTGGAAAAAATTGCATGTATTTTGAATTCAATAAAACTAAAATTGAAATGTTTTCATTGTTATATCTACTGTAATAGCGAAAATTGAAGAAAGGAGTTTATATTTGGATCTTAATCAGTTCTCAATGCCTCTTGCAAACTTGCTATCTGTTCTTCTTTTACATTCTAAGTATTTTTTTTTTCTCTTATCCTACAGCACAATATCTTTCAACCTGAGACAAAAACCACTTCTGTTTCTTCTCTCTTTTCTTCTCTTCCAAAAGAACAAAACCATGACATCTTGGTTGATCTTACTGCACATGGAAACAGCTCAACGGCTGTGTCCGGTACCCATCATGCCGAAACAACGTATACTAGTATAAACCGTGGTGCAAGAAGTACAGCTAAGACATCCGATACCTCCAATGCACAACACAGGGAAAATACCATTGATGGTACCACTCCTTCATCTGTAAGTAACTCTGTAAGGAAATTTCGCAACAGTTTACAACGAAATATGAGGAAGACAAAAGCATCTGAAGACAGAATGAAGAAAACATTGTCGTCTCTGATTCCTGCAAAAATACTCTCAAGAAAGCTGAAAAGAACAAAGGCTCTTGATGGTGAAATGGAGGCCCATAGGTTTTTTGATGAGTCCTCAACTTCTTCTTGTAGTTCACCAAGGAGTAGTACTTACGCCAATCTAGATGATGTTATTGCGACATTGCAAAATATGATGACGAAAACGGATGGCAGAACTAAATCATCGAGTCTTTTAGAACAGTCTATACCGGGAAAAACAATTGGAGAAAAACTTGCTACTCATCATGACCCATCTCAGCATAATTACAACAGTATTTTAAGGCATCTTCCAGAATCTGTTAATAATAATAAATCTGAATTGCATCATCCGAAAAAGATGCCGACTATATCTGTCAGCACTGCTATACAAAACACCACAAAACCCAATCGTCAATCGTTTTCACCATCAAAGAACATTTTAAAACACTCTGAATCTGTCAACTCGAATGATGACGTTTCCAGCCTGAGCACGACGACAACAGACTCGTCATCAGCCGAGCATGTCTATATTTTACAGCCCATGAGCAGTACAACAAGTAGCTTTAATGTATCGAATGCTATTTCTGGAAGTAAAACGTTTCATCATAGATCAGAAGATCATGCTCAGAGTAGATTGAATTTACAAATGGGACATGTTCCTACTACTTCCTTTCAAAGTCCTTCTATTGCCAATACATCAATTCCGAAACCGGCACCAAAGAAAATTCCTTGGCGAAATAGATTGCCCGGTTGGTCTGATAATAATCTTGATGATACCTTACGCCAGCTAGGCGGAGAAGAAGGATATATGGTTCTCTCTGGGAAGGATCATGTCCAAAATATTTTGAATAACACATCATTGCCAACGACTGGAAATGCTTACCAGGAAATGCAAGTTGACAGTACCTATGACAATGTAAATCGTTTGATGGAGGCTGTGAGAGAAGCTGCAGCTAAAGATGCAGCAAGAGAAGGCGAAGATGTTAAAAAGATACTAACAACACCGGGATTAGTTATGCCTCCAGCTTATAAAAAGAGTAACCAACCCAATTTTAATGATTTTCCACCAATCATGAACCCTCATTCAAATCAGTCACGATTGGTTTCACATGAACCCAGAGCTCGAATTCCGAGCACTATTAGTTCATCAACAGAATTTGGTGATTTGGACACAATATCACTTGATAGTTTTGCGAACCCTCTTCTGCATATTCAGAGACGAGATTTCAGTAAAATTAACCAAGATCACCATCATTATCATGGATATAATGGAGGCCGGCCGATTGCACATGCAAATATGCAGAACTCAGTGCATAACCCTTTCGGCACAACCTCATTTCAAACTCATGCAATGCACTCTGGTGAAGTTCTACCTATAGGAAGGCGAATGAGAGCATCCCAAGAGACAGACATTCTGCACAGTCACAACCAGATGTCGTTGCCTTTGGATAGTCGACAAAGATTGACGTCAGAGGTTCTTATTTCCTTATTAGCTGTCATATCTTCACTATTTTTCCCTCTCTGCTGTATTTTCTTGTGGCAGCCTTTCTTCTTATCCTAAAATTCTTGAATATGATGTGAGGATGTAAAATTATTATTAGGTCAAACATAGGTATAATGATTTTTATGAGTATATATTGTGTCAAAATAAAAATCAAAATAGAGGCTACTAATAATTTATTTCAATATCAATTGAAATGTCAGACTATAATAATTCTGATATTCAAATTATCATAAATCTTTCATTTCGAAATGCCATTGGTTGAAAAGTCGCAGAAACTTAAACACCTTTTAGAAATTAGAAATTAATGCAAATAAAACAGTTAGTATGCAAATTTCCCATAATCAAATTGGACTTTTAATCTATCTATTCAAATACATATATAGAAATCCATTTATTAATGCTGATAGTTTTTGCATAAACCGATGCCATTATTATTAATAGCACTGCATATATCATCCATATAGTTTTTGCATCAATATACTATGGTGTTCTGCGATCAAAAGTATTGAAAGTAAAATATTGGTAATGCACCGATGAATAATCAGCATAACATATGCTCTTTGGCCTCATTCGCGGCAATAAAAAACTTAATAAACATCTATGATATGCAATACCTATTTCCTCTTTCCATCATGTTGATTTGTTTAAGCCAAAAATATTAGCTATTTATAGAATATGATGTCGGATTGTGAGTGAGGCAGATTTGAATTCAAAATTTATTTAAAACAACTTATGATTTCAAATTTTATATAAAGTCAATACAATCCCAATTTAATTATGTTGGTTTATGCCTTATGGCATGTTTTGTTATTTATGCAATAGGGACTGCTATGTAAATTGATTTTAATTAATTACAATTTTATCATATATATATTATTCGAATTATGAAAATTTGCCTCTGAAATATCAAATTTTTGAAGTGGTGTTGTATGAAATTTTATATGAATTATAAGGTGACCCCAGAAAAATGGAACCCGGGTCATTTGAAACATATTCTAATATTTATTTTGGATATCAAACATATATTGTGTATTATTCCATCACACTGATAAAATCACTGTGATGATATTCCATTTCTATTGTTTTTCTAGGACATATTCAACATGCAACCTTTTGTGCCGATGACAAATACTGCAAGACTTCCTCAGCCTCCATCTAGGAAACCTACAAGGCCACAGAGTAAATTATTTTTCTATACTGTTTACCAGGGATATATAAATAGAGTTCGTATTTTCAAACTGCCTGGAGTTGGACGTTGCAATTTCAAACTTTCATGGCTGAAAAGTCAAAATTTTCTACAGAAACTCAAAAAGCACCAAGTATGCTAAGTTTCTTAAAGGTCTATTAAAAAAGGCTTGCATATGCAATGAGTTTTCTTCCTCAAAATCTGATTTTGTCAGTGTTCGGAGATGGAGTCTTGAGTCAAAAAATTTTCACAACCCATAGTTTGATTTAAAATTTGTTAAGTCTATAACTTCTTGACGGTGTGGTACATCGTGCTACGCGATAGGTATACATCTGTCACTGCACTTCTGATTAACCTGCATGGGTTTGCAGGTACGATTCCTGTGTGGGATAATTACATGCAGGTGCCAGGTGTATTGCTTGACTCCTCATCGTTGTAGGGTGATTCACGTAACCGATAGTTAGTTATATCTCCCTCCACCATTAAGTCCATGACCATGCATCTGAAACAGATAACTGGCTAACTAATCTCGTACCCGACATGTATTATAGTAACCAGACGAGAGGCTGTGGTTTGTCATATGCCATATGATATCCTTCTCTATCCTGGTTTTTAACAGTTCTAATCTCATTTATTACTAATAAGAAACACAAGCACTTCTGCATCTATGAATAACTTTTCTTGTTCCAGATGCAAATCCATGGTCAAATGATATGTTTGATCCTCTGCAAGTTCAACCTAAAATAAACAGAGAAGTAATGGATGTACAGGTAAAAACTTGTAGTTTTTTATTTGCTTTTTCTGGCAGTTGGGGTTGACTGTAAAGAAGTATGACAGATAAAAACAAATTTATCTTGTTTATCATGTGTATTGTTTTACATCTCATCATGTACTTTCAAAAGGGTATAGTTGTAAAATAAACCATTGTATATAGATTGGTAATAGGAAATCTACTTTTTTACACTGGACTGTGGTATTTTGAAACCAGCAGGCTGTTGTAAATGTCCAAAATAAGATAGTATCCAGTATACAATTTTAAACAAACAAACTAGCATTTTTCTACTTCTAGAAATAAATTGGGTGATACTGCTTCTATAGTTCGATGTCTTGTGCTCATGACGTTTTTGCTGTACCTAAACAATCTTACAGCCTGCCGATTCCAAATTATATAAATCTGTGTATAATGAAATCATTTTATAATACAATGAAATAAATGCATAGTTTGAATTAATCTATTTTTTATTTGGTATTCTTGTAGTGTGTGTACCAGGTTAGGGTTAGGTTATAATTTTATTCCGATTTTCCTTGTTCTAGTTCTAATACGACTTCGGCGACTGTCTGTGTTAGCCAAGTGAATCTGCCCATAGGTTTCAGTCTCTTTATACAACTTAATGTAAAGTAGGCAAACTAGTTACCTCCATATTGGTAGACACACCTGTGGAGCGCCTTTTATTTGATATAGAGAAACAACATTAGTGTAAAAAGCGTTTCACACAACTGGGTAATCAACTGTATGTCAAATATCACATTTACAATTACAATGTTGCTTGAATAGAGTTTAATTGAAAATTTATCACGACCAAAAAGTAACAATACATACTGAGGAGAATATTACATAATCACTCACTCAGAATATTACTACTTCACTCAAAATTCTAAAATGATTTTATATGAGCATGTACATGGAATTGACAAAAAAGTTTATATTATTATACCTACATGTTACTACCTACCCTTTGCAAGGTCCATCTTAAAAACAAACTTTCGATCTCCATCTTTTTTCTAGTCACTCGATTCATTTGCTTTTTCCTCTCCTCTTTATTTCTCTATCTTTCTCACTATTCAGAACATGTGGGGAACTTCTTCACCCGACTCAGCACAGCTATATTCTAAAAGTAAAAAGAGTAATTATCACATTGTTTCTCATCCTTTGATTCGAAAGAAAACTCGGAAGAATCAAAGCCCGGCTTTGAAATGGAGTAAAAAATATTTTCCTTCTGGAAAAAAGAAACGCTACAAAACATCTTCTTCTGCAAATCAACTTAGTGGGTTTGATGTGAGTTGACTTCCTTGTCTTCTCTTTCATTTTTTCATCCAATATCTTAGCTAATATTTTTCCAGCACATCACTATCTTTTCACATCACTAAGTCTTTAAAATTTTGACGATTACATAAAAATTTTTGAAACTAAAATCACGTTTGCATGTTACTTTCTCTAGTAGGCTTGTTAATCTTGCATACTAAATGCACAAAAAAGGATGATCCTAGCTTTCTCTTCCACTAGCTATGTCTATTTTCTCTTTCTCTCTCAAGACAATATCAGTATCAATCAGGGCTGGGCATTTTGAATTATTCAAATTAGTTTAGACAAAAATTTTGAATCTGCACCATTTTTTTTTTGTCTGCCAAAAGTTGTGTGAAGCTCTCAATTTTTTTATCAGAGTCATATTTTTAGAATGCAATTCTTACATAGGGACTCTTCTTAGTGAGTTATGTTTCTTATCATATGTGAATACTCAGTGGATTGTCTGAGTGATAGATTCTATGTTTTCTGTAATTAATGACCCATTACAATAAAAAAAAAATACAAACACTTACATACATCTTCCAAGTATTTGAGAGTAAATTTAAAAAAATATTCGATTCTGAAATCATCAAGTGTTCAAAAATACCAAGTCCTAGTAACAATATAGTATTGACAGAACTGTGGTCATTCCATAACAACTCCCGACTCCAGATTGACCAAATTGAGGAAAAATTTTTGACTCAGACTTGAGCTCCGAATTGTTATGATACCAAATTTTGATAAAGAAAAGTGTTTTGTGTATGCAAGCTTTTTTCATTTATCTATTGAGAATGTTTGTTAATTGCAATGCTATTTTAGTTTGTGTCAAAAAATTTAATTTGATTCTTACATTAAAAGTCGGAAACTTCGACTTCCAACACCAAAAAGTTCGAAAATATAATTCTGGCTTTAAGTGCAATACAAATAAAAACATGCAAACTCAGCCTCCATAACTATGATTGTTAGTAATTCAGCATGAATTCTTTGAGTTGCATACATCATTTTTATTTTCAAATTTTTGAATTTATTTGTAGAATCAGTTTAGCAGAGGACTGATGATGTCAGAAGAACATGTTACTCTCGATTCCTTCGATCCACTGAAACATTAACTGCAAATTTTTATCGTGATCAATTTGACGATTTTTACTACTGTACTCGTTTACTGTACTCTGTAACATAAATACGAATGGACCTTATATTTGGTGCATATAAATGGATAGTTACACTAAAGTAAGTTTGAGATATAGGGTTGTGGTTCACTCTGTGTGATTAAGCCATTTCTTTAGAATGTATATGATGTCCTCCAATTCATTCAGGAAAATTGTATGATGGATAATTTTCTTTGAACATAATAATTTGACTGTCCACACCAGGGGTGTGCAACATTTTTTTGTCTGCGGTCCACATAAAAAAAAATTATTTTCTTCATGATGACAACTATTTAAAAAATTCTCACAATGGAAAGGCTTTCGCTTGGCCTCACAGTAATAAATGTACTGGGCAAAACTTTTGGATTAGAATTTAAAGCTTGATGGGAAAAAATCTGAATGTTGACAAGGGCCAGACTGAATGGCTTGGCGGGTCGGTTGTGGCCCTCGGTCCCCCTGTTGCACGCGCCTGGTATAAACGTATTACAGTTCAGCATACCACCCTGAACATGACTAATATATCTTCTTGTTCTATTTTGCATTTCGTCCATTTGTAACTTGAGTTTATGTATGCTTAGTTTTTCAGTATTTAAATATTTGTATATACAACTAAGGCAAATATCTCTGTCCTTTGAATAATATGTGTATCTTAAATCTAGAGCCATGACAAACAAACTAGTTTAAATATTGCTATTCTGTCTTATGATTCAAGTGATTTGCAACCAGTACTTCGCATAGTTTTTATGTATTTTTGTTCATCAAGTGCAGTAATTTTTCTAATTCTTCTCTTCAAGCTGATTAATGAGCAAAATTGTTGATCATTTTTTGTATCCTTATCAATTTCTCTTCATTGCATTATACCCTGTTTTAATATTTATGTTGTAATGTAAAAATATGTAATTGTCCTACCTAATATCTTTATACACGTAATTTTTTTTTTAGTAGTTATTCTATTTGGCTATAAAATTTCATCTTTATTTGTTGCTGCAATCTCAACGATCCAAAAATCAATACTCATTTTTCTTCATATGAAATATGTCTTAGTCAAACTTCAATGTATCTGTTCATCTTCATTCACATAATACTCTGTATGGTGCAGTAAAAAAATGCTATGTACTATATATATTATATTAATAATGACTGTCCAAGTTATTTCAACTAAATATTTTTCACTTGATGTAAATTATTAAAATACTACTAATCAGAATCTTACACTGAAAAAACATTATCTCTAAATCGTACTACATTATTAATTTATGTTATTGAGTCGCCGTACTTTTACCTCTTTAAAGTCAAACATTTACCATTCTACTATTTGTACTGAACAAGTTTTTATCACACTCATTTAGGTTGTTATATTAAACAAGCTGCAGAAAAAATTACTTTGACGATTTTTCTAATCTATTTCAACCAATTTACCTGAAATATAGTACATGTTATCATCGTCTTTTAATGACTATTTATGCCATTGTAAATTGGAGAAACATTCTTTCAGCAAATTTGACTTCAGTAACTCCTGAATGATGCTTTTGTCACCAACCTTTTCATACATGGTGGCCAGTAGCTCCAATCTTTCCAGTCTGGTTGAGATGAATCATGAATGCAGCCCAGATTAGAACAAAGTGAATTTTCACTTAGTAGATTTAGGAAAAATGTATGTGATATGTGAGTGAAATAATTTGAATCATAGAATGAAAAAATTTACTGGATTTTATTATAACCACTGAATCTTGAAATTAACATGGCCTGAAAATACATTTATTTGGACCCAACACCATTGTCAAATGGGTCAAGTTGAAACTGGAAACTGAGAGTAAGATGAATCTGATTGTCTTGTCAAATATCAATTGCTTTTTGGCAACATTTAAACCTTGCTTTACCGTTATACATTGCATTGATATATTACATCTTGATGGTTTTTATGAATTAGTTGATATTGTCTGAGTATGACTATTCCATTGCAATCTAATTTTAAATTAGCTATATGAGAGTAAATAACCTTGGAGAAAACCTAGGAGTAAGCTTCAAGCTTTTGTGCCCAATTGCCTTGTGTATATATATCGCTTAATATTATAATATTTCTTGTGATTTGTACTGATTTACAGTGAAGCCTTAAACTTTTATTTTCTCATTATTACCTTCAAGCAGTATTCTTGTCCATCTATTTCATTTTTGTGTATTTTTTTTCTTTACAAAAACCCATCGCCGAATATATTTCATCAAATCTGTCCTAATATAAGTGAGTCACTATGATAGAGAACTGATTGTCTGTTGGAGATAAATTTATGTAGCCAACAGTAAAACTACAAAAAAAATATCTACAATGAAGATATCTGCGTTTCATATTCGACCATATTTGACATTACATGGTGTCCGTAATAAATCGTGGAAAAGTTGATTTTCGATTCACAAAAAAAATTATTGAAAAAAAATCGAGGCGAATTATTTTTCCTTTTGATTTCATTATATTGCCCTGATTGTTGCAATTATTTCACCTTTCTTCTTCAACGCTCAAGTGATTTCTTCATTAAATAAAACATAAAATACCTATCTTTGTCGTTGATCTTTTGAAAGAATGGCCGGCGAGGAATATCTCCCACATCTGTATCATACTAAAACACGCTATGCTATGTGCCGGGGGATTGCTCGTCTTCATTCCTGATGCAGTAGTAGTGTGTACTGGTATTAAATTTTTCACTAGTATCACCAGTTTTTGAAACTTGTAGAATGTAAACATTGCAGCACTGAGTGCAGTTTCAAGTAGTGGCAGTAGTTCAAGTAGACACCTGTCTTGCTCGAATACAATAAATTTGCATTGATCAAAAATGTATCAAGTTGTCCGAGATCTTTAAATAGTCTGCGTCGCCGATACCAATGTGTATTGCACTGGTTCTCAACTAGTGAGCCATGACCCACTGCTTGACCACAGAAACATTTTCTTTCAGTCGGGCCACAGATCTTTTAAAAATTGCTAGAGTTAGATATTGATAAATTAGTTAAACTTGATTGTATTAGAAATGAATGATAATGCTGTTTTTTGCTACTAAATGATAATTTTAATTATTAGAATCTAAGTGTTGTAACAAATTACCCGATAAATTTAGGTAATTGACACCAACACTATAAATAGTTTTCGACGTCATAGATATTGGAAAAAGAATGTTTTGTTTTTTGTAGTTTTGCATGAGAAAGTTAATGTGCCACAGAATTTGCGGTGCAACAAAACTGGGCCATTAAGGAAAAAAGGTTGAGAACCACTGGTCTGTTGTCATGTGAATTTTCGCCCTCGAGGGCAGTGTACGCGGCTTTTACTATCTCACAGTTTTAGATTCGGTGTCGGTAGTTTGAATCAGCGGTATCGGCAGAATACGTGATATCGGAACATCTCCCATATTGATACGTATTCGGTTTGATTCAATTTGTTATATGCGAAACAAAATTGTAACACACTCCCTAGTCCTCAATTTCCCAGGGCAGATCGCGCACCCTTCTTGGAAACAACATGACTGCTTGGGCGAACGGCCAGCTTATTTTAAGACCATGACTGATTTTATTATTTCTTTTTTATAGAAGATTCAGTCAGAACTTCCAGTCCTGTAGTATAAAGATCGGTTTCTCACTTATCGCAGACGTCATTTGGGGACTCTGGATAACTTCAAAGACAGTTAAATATACGGACAACTAATGTAATCAACTCCGAGATATGAATAAACAAATGTACGTTCCTGGGAAAGTACGAAACACCGCTTATTCTCGTGACACCACAAACACCATTTTAAAGACATTTTGTATGAATAATATTCTCATGGAAGTTTCGCATACGCTTTGTTATAACATATATAGTATATACATTATAATGCAACGACGTTCTTTCAGTAAATGAGTTGGGTTGAATAGCTTTGAAATGGAGAATAAATTTCAAATTTTCGTTGTTATCTACAGAAGAACTGCAGTTCTGAATAAGCTGTTTTAGATTAATTATTTGAGGTAAACAAAGCTAAAGGCATTACCGAAATACGGATATTTCATAATGACATTAGGAATTACACAAATTTGGTCAAAATCTTCTCCATTCATTAACCACGAGACTTCAAACCGCCAAGTACACTTTCATTTATATCGATCGAATTGCAACTTTTTTATGGTTCATAGACAATTTCATAGTTTTACATTTAAAGTTTTGTTTTTAATAAAAATAACTCAGTCGAACTCAAATAAAAAAGTTATAAGCCTAAGTTTATGCACGTTTCATTCAAGTCATGTAGTTGCATGGGTCTAATTTAGTTCGCAGTACGATGATTGCGTCATATTTTCTTAAACGCTTGCAAATACTGTAAATTTCTTTTTTATATTGATTTGCTAATTAAACCAATATAAAAGGTGGGCATGCTTGAAACAACAGTGTAAGTGATAAAATACAAGACGTGTATTATATGGAGAAAACAATCTCTGGTGTACAAAAATTTTTTCTGAAAGTATTTGATATTATTGCGATCAAACATGGTCCATGCAGAATAAATATATATTAGGTTCAGACGGTTTAGTTCTAACTGGAATGATATATCATTTTCTAATGTATTTTCACGCTTAACTCATTTTAAATGATCTACGAGAGAGAGCACAATTTATCCTCCGATACTTCTTTGAAAATTTAACTACACTTTATATATTTAGCCACCGCCACTAGCCAATAAATTTAAAAGTCAGAATAACATTCCATCCTGTGATCAGAAGCGGCAACTCTCAGTGGAACCAGTATAGGGAGGATCAGCATCAAATACTTATCCTAATCGATGCCACCGTGCTTCAATCGGCAAAATAATAAGCACTAAAAATAATACACTCCCTTATTGACAAATAGCCGGTAATTTCCACACAATTTACATGTCGAGCTATTTTGAACTTTATTAAATCGTTTTGTTACGGTAAGATCAGAGAAGATATGAAGTTCTCAACTGATGCCAATGCAATATATATATACTATACATAGCAAATCTTATGAATTTCGCCCATTTTTTTTAAAGCTTAACAAAACTGTTCTACAAAGGAAATCGCAAATTGTTAGCGTCTATTTCTGTTATCGCCGATAAAATTTTATTTACGAGCTCAATATAAAACGCCATTTTGTTTCACAAATTTCTTGATACAAACATTCATGAACTCTAAGTTCTTTCACAAAATAAGAAGCAATGTTATTTGCGCATTGAACGACAAGATTTTATAGCAGGGGGGGGTGGAAGGTTTTCGGACCAGGGGCCATACAAAAATATGAATTCTCGGTATAGAATTCCGATTTTGTACCAGTAAAATAAGATGAATAATACCAATCATTGTTCTGCTCGTGTTTCTATTCCAAATGTATTACTATTTAATTTATGTTATAAAATATTGCCAAATTTACTGAAAGCGAATGCCAACAGTTTGGCGTCATTTTAGATGTCTCATTCCAAAACTCTTTCGGAGAACAGAAATTTTTATCATGAACATCTACTGATTGAACAGACAGCAACCCTGCAATCTGTATTATCATGCACTAATTTGTACATATTAATTGTAGTTCATCATTATACCATAAAAAGAATTATATTTCGAGGCGAGGGTGCAGACGAACACCTTTACACTGAGAGTCACACGGGATGCAAAATTTTGTAAAACATTATGCTGGGCAATCTTTGATATACAGCATTTACAACCGATTTCAAGAAAAGATTGTCAGAAAAATAAAATAGGTAATATAATAGTGTCTCAATGTACAAATCTTATAATTTATTTGTCTGTTTATTTCTGTAAGCGAACAAGATAAATAAACATAAAACTCTCCAGAGTATACTCATTCAGAAGATAGGCATCCAAAAACTGGTGTTGCTTCCATGCATTGCAGGTTGGAATCGGCACAATCAGTACTGGTGAACGTGCCGTATCCTGAAATAATATTAATTTTTATGAAAGCAACATAAAAATTGATATCATGCATGTTTCACGAAACTAGACTGAAATTGAAGTTACAAATTTGAATAATATTAGTCTGATTTTGGATTGCATACACCTGAAAATGACTCGGTTAATTGGAACAAGTCTGAAGATTTATGGGAGCACATATGTATAAACATAGCTCACCACTAATAGCTGAAGTTGATATTTTTATACTTGCAACAGAAACGGTCTTCAGTTCTGCGAATCTGGGAGTCGAATGAGAGCAATGGTCCCCTTTTTCTAGATCTGTAAACTCGCTTCTGATGACATCAAAATCAGTACTAGTAAGCCCTTCTGATATTTTCTGAATTTCAACCCCGCGTTCTTCTTCGTGCCGCAGCCGTGGTATTGGAGGCAAACGTCTTGAAAACGATGAAGCAGCTGGTAATGTTATTGCCGGATATGAAAACGGAGACACATAATCATCTTTTTGACCGTATCCATTACCAGTAACAACGCCAATCGAATGTATGGTCTGAGCGGTTCCTACGTTCGAGATATCTGAAGTGTACGATTGAACAGGGGCGTAATTTTGAGCGCCGTTAAATACATAGAATCTTTGCGGTATATTTTGAAATGTTTCTTCACTGTAGTCGGTGTCCTCAACTAGGCGTGAAAATGGAACATTTTGTGTAATACTCCGGGTAGGAACAATTTCTGTTGAAGTGTGGGTGTCAATTTCACTGTTGGAGGTAAAACTATCAACACTCTGCGTAACGTTATTTCCTAGTTCCATTGCCCACACGGCTTCTGGCCATCCCGTTCTACCCTTTCTCTTTTTACCACCTTGCAAATTCAATTTCTCCGCATTATTTGGCGTTTCCTCATCCATTGTTAAATTTAACTGCCCGTTGACAACGGCATGTTTTCCGCTAACATCAGTCTGGAATAAAATAAACACGCTTGTGACCAAGTGATTATCACCTTATGCTAATTGCGCTGAAAGGACAAGCTAGATTTCTCGGTAGTGTCCATAGCAGAGGTGGGCAAGGTATTTGGACCAGGCGCCAAAATTTTGTGCCCACCTAAACAAGCGGGTCATGTAAGTGTGACGTAAAAAGTTACATTTTATGAACAGAATCTTATTAACAGTGTTACAAAAGCAAAAGTGGAAAAAATATGCCTCGTGCCAAAACTAAATGTAAGCACTATATTAAAAAAATCCCTGAGCTATATAGCTAAAACATCTAAATTTGGTTTGGTTGTGGTAGCATCAGGCGGACAGATTAAATTACCCAACGGCCCTGATTTTGCCCGCGGGCCGTAGTTTTCCCATACAACACTTAGGCTGTTTCCTATGGTACGAGTAATAAGATACTTAACTTACCTTGTTAGGAAGTAAGCAAGGGTTTACATGTTACAGTTCCGCATGTTTTGGGTTTTGACAATACGTAAGATAGTTTTATATAGTTTATTCAATAGATTGGTATATATAGGATGGGTATACCTGGCAGAGATGCCGTCTTCTTTCTCGTGTTCTCAGAGCTTTCAGATCCGCACGAAAATCCCTGCCATCTTTAGGATTGCTGGGATCAGCATTTTGAAGAATATCTGTCAAGTAAGCAATGTACGACGTTGCTAGTCGCAGCGTTTTTATTTTTGACAACTTCGTATCCATAGGAACGTTTGGAATACGTTTTCTCAATTCTGAGAAAGCGTTGTTTATGCATTCTGTGCGCTTCTTTTCTTTTCGGCTTCCAGTTGATCTAACCATTGCCGGAAACTTTTCATTGTGACGATTCCCAGCACATTCGATCATAGCTAAGTCACCTTCGACAGGAAAAGGTATCCTAATCGAAAGACCGTTAGGATGAAAGGTAGTCGTTGGAAAACAGGAACTTTGTTCTGCATTGACTAGTCTTGTATCAGGCGACGGGAATGTAATTTCATCATTGGATGTTTCTGCGTCAGCCAACAAACTATCACATACAGCGACTGCTTCTTCAATATTGTTTAATTGGCTTGATCTGAAACAAGTGTTTTGTGGAGTAGCCTCTCTCACTCTAGTAGAAAGGCCCATATTTGGGTTGACTAGATTTGCGTTAAATGTTTTCCTGGTGGCTAATCACAAAATATTATTCCTCTATATTACTGTTTAAATAAATGTATACAAAGTTGTGTAACTTTTTAGTTTGGCAGTTATGAGTTATTCTATCAGCAATTACCCTGTACTAACAAAGAACGGCTTTAGAATGGATCTCATATATATCTTTCATACCTCAAACAGCCAAAGATACGTTTACATTCTACAAGATCCTTCTGCACAAAAACAATATCTAGAATCTAGATCATAGGTAGGTGAGCAGGGTTTTTGGACTAGGAGCAAAAATTTTTGCCCATCTAGACTAACGGGCCATGTAAGTGTGACGTAAAATGTTACATTTTATGAACAATATATACAGTGTTACAAAATCAAGTATTAAACGATAAGCCTCGTGACAAAACTAAATTTAACCGCAATCTCAACAAATTCCTTGCGCTATTTTTAGCTAAAACCTTTAAAAATATCGTCCCAGTTTTGTTGTGACAGCATAGGGCGGGCCAGATTGAATTACCCATCGAGCCGGATTTGGCCCGCGGGCCGTACTTTGCCCATGTCTGATCTAGATACTAATATTTGTAGCTAAAACTGGGCAACTGTTAGGATTTATGTCAGATACAAATCCTTAGGAAAATACTCAAACTAAATAGATTTAACATGAAATTGGAGATTTCCCCCGCGTTGGCACCACGGCGAACGTGTGACAGGGATGTGGCTGCGGTAACGTTGTATTGACAATTCATGGTCGCTCACAACTAGATATAAGAGACGTATCGAATCGGCCATTTTGTTGATATCGGTATTGGATACGAAATAGACTGATACTTCCGATAAGTTTAGCTCTTAGATCTTATCTAAAATGTGTTAATTAGTATACGAATATTGGTAACAAAAATTAATTTGGCTTTGGAGGCATCGTGTACGAAGCGTTCACTGTCTCATTTTCACAGTTGGATAGAGAATGAGTGATCGCCCTTAAATTAATGAACATTTCACAATATATTTTGCTATGTATAGGAGCAGGCCCACAACGAGTTTTGTAATCGAGCACGGGCGTTTCAATTTGATTGTAAAGAGGAGTTTTTTAAATTGAAATAGGTATCATTATGAAAATTTGAAGCTTTCTATTGTTATGTATATTGCTGGAGAATGCATCCATCACGATTGCGCCGCGCTGTTTCAGACTTCAGAATTAAAAGTCAAAGCCAATTTCAAATTTTAGCGTTAAATCGGTTTATACCCCGAGTTTTGTTGATGTTGTTATTTTAAAATACATACTTGAGTTTTGTTGCTACTTTATTTTGCGTTGTTTTTATGCGACGCCTTATAACTTTAAGGTTTGAAATTTGGCTCTGACGTTAAAAAAGGTTGGGAACCACTGATTTCGAGTATTTTAAGCCATCTATTAAGTTAAATCACAAATACAAATTTGATGTTGTGCATTCTCGTGTGCTAGGATTAAGGATGCTAAGTATGATTACTTACAGGTATTCGATTCTTATCAAATTCCTAAATTTTGATCCCGATTCTCGATTCCTGGACATATCTTACCGAGAAAATATACCCCCACCTAAGCAATATTATATGAAATCAAAAAAGAAAGCGATGTTCAGACATAAGGAAAGACAAGACGGCCAAAACTAAGTAGTATGGGTATCCAATCTGTCACAGGGGACAAAATCGCACATAAAAAAGAATCCCTCAGAACCCACAGAGATTTTAGAAATAAATAAACGTAAAAAGCCTTCTAGCGAAAAAATATATATAGTGAAGTTTGCGACGTCGTAGCAACTCAACATAGCAGTAAAGCAGTTTCTACATATATATATATGAAGAAATTGACACAAAACGTTACACATTGTTTACAATCGACGTTTTAACCTCGAGAATTGATTCCAATCCATCGGAATCGATTCCGCAAAAAATCGAGTCTGTAATCAAATCCGGACTCGATTCCGCCATCCCTAGCTAGAATATCTGCTTTATCAGTTGAAACAATGTTCACTTTAAATACTGTTAGCAGACATAGGCGCCTTCTCGTTGGTATCGGTAAAAAATTGATAACCATACATCTTTACCAGATATACGCTACTCAATTTTGAAATAAACGGTTTTTCAAAAATTAACGTAACTTACATAACTTTATATTGTTTCACAAATTTCGAACCTTTTTTGAAAATATTAAGATTCTCTTTCATAATATACCACATTATCCGAAAACAAAGCACTTAATTTGAAAAAGGTATTATCATCATACAACATTGCATGAAACTGGTAAAACTATCTATAGATAATTAGCCTCGTGGTTTTGAGGTGACATTGAATAGTTTGACAGGTTACCTGATTTTGTTTCATCTGGTTTCGAGGTGTTATTCTTCAATCAGGTTTTGGTATACACTAGACTAGGCCGTCTTCACTACGGCTATAATTTTCTGACCGAACTGTTAATAGAAGTGTGCGTTCGTCGTAGCAATAGGAATAATTTTGAGTGCGCGCCAAGCGTTAGAATTTTAAGAGCAGATTTCTATTGAATCTTCAATTAGGTCCGTATGGATTTCGGTACCGGAAAGTCATTGTAGTGCTGTATTAGTGAATATTTCGCCCATAACGTCAATTTAAGTAATGTTTATTTGATATTCTCTCTTACAAATATTCAAAAAACACGCAGAATCAAATGCGATTCATATTTCAACACATGGCAAAATTCGAAGATGTTATGATCGAGTCTGTTTTTAAATATAATTATATACTGGAACATACAGAAATTCCTTCACCAATTAACCAATTTTAAGCGCTGAATAAATGAAAATTATATTTCTTTTGTGTTTAAAATCAAGCCCAAGTACATTCACATATATACATTCCAAATTCAGACGACTTTCAGAAAAATCAGAACCAACTAATCCCATACTTGACATGGACTAGTAACCGGCCGTGGTACGTCATATTATTAAGCCGGTATATCGGTTTTGCTCTCCCTATGGAAAAATGTAAATGCCATCTATTTAAACGAAATTATTTTATTTAGACAAGACGGTATACTTCTCAAACTGAAATCTGGTCGTACATCCATTGTCATTCCTATTTTCTAATTCATCGATACCATGCTGCTGATTTGTCGTTCATAAGAGCTAACGCTAAACAAAGTGGAAACCATTCAAACACATACGCTCTGACCTTGTGGTGGCAATGCTTCGAGAGTATCTTGATATAAAACAGTCCGTAAACGATACAAAATGGCGGATGTCACTCAACTAATTTCATCGTCAGGCCTCTTATTTTATCAGCTCGCTAACTTCAACCCTTCAGATAACGTAAACACTGGAATGAGAAAGACGCCCGACAGTCTGAACAGAGGCAAAAATTATGCCATACTAATAAGGGCACATATTTCAGTTACGTAAACATGACGCAATCTAACTCCCCGATTTGGAACGGGGAGGCGTCCTTCATGAGTGGCATACATGCAACTGTCGCCAGATTCTAAGTTGAACACCTCAATATGGGGACGATAATCATTTTATTCAAAGTTCTTGATTTTCTTTATTTGTGGGAATCTATATATATATATATATATATCCTAACCAATAAAACATTACCAAGTCCTATTTACCTACGTCAACTATGACTCAAGCCAGCTGGTCCCTGGTCGCCTGAAAAGTTTTTGTGCAAAAGTACTGCAATCAGATTTCCTACCCGCTCGAAATATGGTATGTGCAAAACGGATGGAGTGATATTGAAGGGTGCATCTTAAGAAAGGTTCGACCAGACTGTGTCTACTTCAGATAATAAGTTATTAGATTAGATTATCAGAATATGGATATGATATAAATATTGGTAATTGCAACATTATCGATATACAATGTTGTAAATGGAGATTTGTAATTTTGTATATATATGTTTTCATATGACTTAGTTTCTTTGTAAGGATTCGACTTAAAATGAGTATATTTTAAAGTTTACTTTATAGATTTTTTAGCGTTGTCTAAATCATTTACTGTGTGTGTAATAAGGTCATTGAAATTGCACTCATTTTATATCTATTTTTATAATATATTAATATATATTAAAAACTGTTATTTTCAAAACTCCCGGCCCCCCTGTTAGGACTGCAGGGCTACTGTAAATCAACCCAAAATATAGTTGGAATACGATGAGCCGAATATAAATATGTTGAGGGGCTCGTCATTAAGTTTCGGTCCGTATGTACTTCGTTTTAGCTGTACAAAACGATCAACTGTTCTGTAGGAATGAACTGCACTAATCGCTATAGAGAAATTTAAAACAATTTGCTGTTGATGTTAGCATTTATTTGCTGAATAAGGAAATAATAAATAAAACATAAGTACTCAAGGTCGAAGTCGAAGCGTTCCGTCATCAATTCATTGAAAAAAATATACAAAATGATTAGATAAAGAAAAAATGGAAGAAAAATCACAAATTTTCTCGTGTGTACAGTCCAATTAGTCCAAAAAACCATGCGATATTTAAATAAACTAAATACTAAAAATAAGTGTAACGAAATGGAATAAATACATATATGTACTACAATTTGAAAGATTTGATATATGCACTTTTTTTATGAAATTCAACTCCATTCTTTGTATCAATGATATTGATACACTCGTTTTTAAAATTAATGTATCACGGATAATTATTATTTTTAAAATGAGCGAATAGAAATGACTTATAAAATAAAATAGAATCGAAGAGAATAAATTCTTTGGAATGCCTTGAATTTACTACAAATACACATCAACGATATGTATCGTCAGGGCTGTAAAGTCACGATTTCACTGGAGCCGGAGAAGTTGTTAAAAAAAAAAGGAGCCGGAGACGTATTATACAGTCCTGACACAGTCGATATTACGAATTCCCCGGAGTCAGGATTGCATACTTTCAGTGGTGAAAAAATGAGTCGAAACTCCGTACTAAAGAGCATAAAGCAATAACTAAATCAAATCATAATTAAAATATTAATCAGAATATTTGAGTTAATTCATAGACCAGGATCACGGTTTAATATAACCGAGAATATACAAACCAGAACACACAAGACCCAAAAATTATTTGATTATGCTCCTTAGGTAGGTACGCCCCTTAAAGTATTAGAAGGATATATAATAACTGAGTACATTTTTGCATATACCGCAAAGCAATACATACACTGTGGGCATCAGGCTGCGACAGCGGCATTCTGCTGACAATGGCAAAGCAAGTGCTGGCAGCACATCAACTCAAGGTGCTGGCAAGACAGAAGAATTTAAGAGTTCTTTATACTTCACTTTGAAAGTGGCATATAGGTGGAGTCACGTCAACTGCTGGGAATACTATTCCAAGTTACCAAGTTACAACACCTTTATATTTTAGAGCGGGATTTTCCTATTGAAAAACGGGGTACAAATAATTAGACTTTGTCGAAGAGCGCGTATTCTGCTCATGCATGTCACTAAACCTAACCAAATAATCGCCAAAAGTTGCAGGCAACTGGTGGCTGTGAAATAGATCAATGTCTTTGCAGATATCTAGCTTATGGATGTCAGATAGTTTCAGCACCCTGGTCCTGTAGATATAGGGTATAGTATATAATATAGGAATTCTAACAGTCCTATTCTGTAAAACTTCTGATTTAGCAAATTTGTTTTGGTTGCAGAGCCCCACGCAGCTATGCCATATTGGATGTGTGACTGAAAATGGGAAAATATACGATTCGCAAGTTTATGTCATGTATATAATGTCTTAACTTAACATGATTTCTTTGATGTAGGACAATTCCACTTTCGAGCTGTCGGGATATGAGGAGGACAGCTAGAGCGATCATCTAAATCCAGGGCTTCTGACCGGAGAAAGTCTTCGATCCAGAATTGCATTCTCTGCATTGCATTGTGAACAATAGAATAATTTCCTTCTCCGTGGACTTTAGAAATTATACCCATTAAATAATACTGTTTTGTGCCATTACGACTACACATAATCGGCCCACCACTGTCACCCTGTAAATATAACACATTGTTTTTAACTTGGTAAGAAACTTAAGTTAAGTTTAAGGTAAAGCAATATATAATATTATCTCAAACAACAATTGACTTAAATAAGTAGACTCATAAACTATTTTTGTCATAATTCGTCACTCATTTCTATTTTATATCGAGTTCAAGTCTTATCATATAGCGCTCAAGACTTGATTCTCCTATCTCCAGTATTTGGCGTATTTGAGGTACGGGTTTGCCATTAGGCAAGGTAGGATGAAGCCCAAGAACCTCGATATCGATAAGTAGCTATGTATATATTAATTTATATAAGTAACAAGGAATCTAAGAATTATTAGATTTTATTATTATTTTATCATAGACTCGTCTGCTGTCAGCTAGCAAACTCAAATTCGCAAAATTGGCATGCCTGATGAATATGTTTCTGCACAAACAGCATATATATTCATATATCTATATATATACGAACATGGGGTACATGACGATTGGGCGATTCGGCCAACAAAATTTTTGCACGTTTAGTGCGAGCTTATTATTTCGTTTCCTGAGTTTGATTTCTTTTATCATTTTTATTTTTCAGTTTGGTAAATCGGGCTCATCCAACACACCGGTGGTAATAGAATTTGTACAAATTGTACCGTTGGCCGTGTCTCTAATTTATTTTTCAATACCTGTAAAGGTCCAGTGGTTACACAGTGTATTTCATGTTTCTCCCTATTGTTCAATTCGCAAATCTTTGACGAGCAATTCATTCTACTGACATTTCTTCGTTGCAAAGTTTTCGATGTTTTTCTATTGGGATTATTCCGGAAGCGCTCTAAAAATGACACGGTACAGAGCCGGTGAATAATTATATAGTCACAAAAAAAAGACTGAAACCCTAGAATTGTTTATTTAACATTTAATTTAAGTGTGCCTTAAAGTGTTCCCCAGATGTGAGCGTAAAACTTGAAGTACCGCACTCAAATAAACAGCACCAAATCCCAAATTTTCGTTCACTAAATTCAATTCCAAGCTATTAAATCGTTGTCAGAATAACAATAATGTTACCAATGGTAATGACCGACATATTTATAACTGACATGATTCGATCTATATTTTATCACTAAAAGTTTGGATAGGTTTTTCAAATAAAATATATATATACAGCGACACCTGTATATCCCATTCCAACAGCAAAACACCTGTCCTCGGATTCTGGCTTGTGGCCATGACTCAAGCAGAAAGGAGGCTTAAAATCGGTGGTGAATTCTGTCGATAGTACTGCGATTGCTTCATCGTTTCTAGTAAAGAAATGTATGGATATTGGTCAGAAGAATTTTGACGAAAATGCCATTTTTACGTTGTATCATTATGCACAATTTCTAAAATATATGGAAAGCCAAAACGAAAAGACGGGAGTTTTTTGATAAGGTTATCATTTGATATTTCGATTCATGTTGATCATCATCTTCGCAAGACCGGGGTAAGCTATAGGACGCCCGGTACCAGTAAGTTATACGGTAGCTGTTCCACAGTTTCAGCATCGTTCAAGATATGATTTCGAGGAAGTTGTGGGTGAAATATTTCGTTTTGGCTTTCGTGTCTATATATTTGAAAATTGCTCTCTTGTTTATTGTAACATACAAATCTTAACCAAGCAAAGACACTGTTTCAAATGTTAATGCTCCAAACCTGACGCCCTCCAATTTATCAGAGTACAATAGTAAGTACAAACTCGCATATCACTGGATATGATGCAGAGCTTCTGTATGGAATAAAAACACATATAGGCTATCAACCTTATATATATAGACTATATCAATCTTACGAATAAATGCAACCCCAGCCTTGGTTAATTGTAAACTCAGAATTTTTGTAAACGTGAGATATCCTGATTATTTCCTGATCTCCAGGTCTTCCAGTAGGATTTATTGTTGCATTGTAGTTGGCAAGTGTTTTACTGTAAATGTAAATAAAATACATTTAAATAAAATTCGATAGTAAGAGATTTTTTGCCGGGAAGCGAAGGCCTCTCATTACAACTTGATTGTTGCACAGAATATTTAACATGACGAAGTCCGTATATTAAAATTGATCTATTGCTACTCTTGGCAGGGGTATGCGATATACTGTGCGATATTGTATGTTATAGTTATCAAAATAAATAGTTTATTTTCTTAGTAATAGTTAATTTACCAATTATGTCTAGAGATGGGTCCGCCGTGACGCCTTGCTATGAAAGGAAAGCAATGTGCGGCAGTCAAAACAAGTCTCGGCGCGATGAGAGTTCCTCCACATTTTTTACTCCCATCACTTATCTCAACAAACCAATTTCTCCACTTATCAGGAGCTTTTTCTAAAAAATTAAAAAAAAATAAGGGTACGAAATAGAAGTTAGGCATCCAAGCAAGGTTTGAAACACTATACATATAACATTGAGTGGATGAAAGAATTAAAACATAAAGGCTGTAAGCCTTGGACTGAAAAGAATTATCACGGAGCATAGATTACTTATTCCATAACATGCTGGCTAACCCGCAAGATGTCAACGGTGACGTAACCATCGAATTTTTAGCAGTTGCTCTGGCACTATTTACCTCACACAGATTCGTTACTCATCCTAGCTAATTCTAGCTATTTTGAATCAGACTATTGGTCATACAGAAGTAGAACTCAAAAACTATTATTAAAATAACCATCAAAAATATTATAATGCTAATGTATCCATCCATTTCTAAACATTCATTACAGTCTTACACTAGTCTATGTCAAGATAGATTTTGGACCGCCAAAGTATAGATAGGCTATGACATACACATACCAAAACCACGACAAAATAATTATTCAATACTAAATTGCACACAAGACATTGAGAATAGAGAGTGTATCGACATGCGTTGCGTCGTTTTTAAGTTACCTCCTCCTAGGATCTTTTCGATATTAGTATCGCTATCTTCAGAACGAAAGTCGCAATTCTGGATGTGTTCGTAAGATGGTCCTTGTATATTCCCTAGTAACACATTTTTAAACGTGTTAGTTATAAATATTAACATTGACTGTTGACAATTGTTTTAGAAATTTAGATTGAGACAATTGGAGCATTGTCAAAATTTTGGATAGAAAAGTAAATCTATTGCATAAAATTTAGCGCTTCTTGGTAATTTGCACAGATACACAATCGGGGTAATTAAGAAAAATAACGCTATAGCCAGAAACAGAATTTTTATATTATATCCCAAAGTATGTGCACCAAGATGGCGCACAACCTGGACATAGTATGTGTACCAGGTTAAGGTTCAGTTTGTGCGCCATCTTGGTACACATACTCCGGAGCGCCTGTTTAAATGCAATAATTGATCTACTTACCCCATTTTTCTTCAGTGCTTGTGGTTTCATGTCTAATTTCCGTATTGTGTTTTTGATATCTTTTTATCCTATAAATAAATTCAAACCATTTTTCAATTCTTCAAAATAAAGTAATAATAGCTGTATGATATATTACATATTATACCAAAAAATGGGATTCTAAATCAAGCCTTCATGTATGGAGCGATGAATCTGACGTCCACGTTGAAAACAAGCAGTAATTTGCGGTGGAAACAATTGTATAGCAAAATACAAGTATAGCACGCTTGGAATATATCAACATCTTGACACATTGAACAAAGTTTTCTTAATTTACAGCATACATAAAACATTTATATTGTATCTGCAAACCTTCTCCTCAATCCTGGATTTACATCGTTTCCTGAAAAATAATATAATTACGACAATTTTATTATTTTGGAAACAGAATATACCCGCCGTAATTTTGTGCAGAATTTTGAACCATCTTACTGGTTTGTTATTTATCATTTATTTATTAACAGTATTATTTTCTAGTTCGAATAATTTTGTCAGAATATATTTTTTTGTGATTTTATGTCATCTCATATAGGAATCAACGGTATTCAATGTGACAATCACTATGTCTGAGAAATTGCAATGAGTTAGTTTTGCGCAAATTCTAGTGAAATAAACTTACGTTCGAGGTAAGCAGGAAGTGGATTTACTGCTTGCTTATATCTGAAAAACAGTACAAATTCAACATTTTAAATAAATAGTGCTGTGAATAATATTTTACTCCAAATTTTTATTTCCAATCAAAAAAGGGCTGCTTAATATACAGATTTACATGAGTCAAAGGTAATCACTTAGACCTTAAATAGGCAAACTACGGCCCGCGGGCCAAATCCGGCCTGTTGGGTAATTCAATTTGGTCCCGCGTGATGCTGCCACAACCAAACTAAAACCCAATTTTGATGTTTTAGCTAAAAAGAACTCAAGGAATTTGTTGAAATTGCGATTAAATTTAGTTTTGGCACGAGGCTTATTGTTTTCCACTTTTGCCTTTGTAAACACTGTGTCACATTGTTACGTCACACTTGCTCGCCAGCCTAGATGGGCAAAATTCTTGCCCTTGGAGCAAAAACCTTGCCCACCTCTGACTTAGACCTAGAACCCTATCCAAACGTTTCAAAGTTACGTTTTTAGTACTCAATTTAGTTCTCCGAAAAAAATTTCCTGGATGTTACTTTTAAAAAGGTTAGAATCTCTACAGCATGCTCGCAGCCATTTTTTCCTACTACACCGAAGACATAAACATCTTGAACGTCAAATTAAAAATGTTGAATGGCTGTATATTCTTACGAAGACGGTAACGCTATATTCAACACACGAACAACAACACTGTCGTTTGCTAACAAAAAACTCTTACCTTGGCCGTGGTTGTCCATTGGACATGTTCACGAAAAAAACACTAGTTACCAATATCATCAAATGCGACCAACCCATCGTATCTTCTTTGTAAATGTATTCCTGGGAAGTAACGCAATAAATTGTCGGAAATTGTCAAACTTAATACTAGGGGAACGCTTGCATGTAAGGCAATTGTTTGACAATCAGGGCAGTTATCTTTCATCGTCTGCGGCCAAAATTGGGCATATTCTTTCATATTGGGTGAAATCTGCGATGGCGTCAGAAAACTTATAAGAAGAGTGAACAACAGGTCAAGAATCAATTGAATTCACGACACATTAAAAACATTCAGTTCGCCAACAAGAACGGGACAACGAACTCACCTTGTAACATGAAACTCGCCCGATTCTGATTCCACCGCCTTCAGAATTTCTTGAAGTTGTAAAGACACACACCGAGATATGACTATAGATTCCAAAAATCAAGCCTTTTATATGAGCTACGTTGTGCATTAAAACGAAGCATGCAAATTAATTCATTATATAAATAGGAAATTGCGGCTAGAGCTTCTCTTTATGACATGTTTGATGTAAATTTTTTCGAAAAATTAAAAAAATATATATTATTAAATCTTTGATATAAATTTGCTTATCGTCGTCTGGGCAATAATAAACCAAAAATTCTACAGATAGTGTTTTGAGAAATTACATTACATTCATTTTCCTATGTCTATTTACGCGATTTGTACTATGAAAACAGGGTATTTTCAATGGTATTTGAATGACGTGCGGGCAAGGTTGCATTATATCAAACCACTATCATATCCGATATCGAATCATTTTTAAATCAAAGTGGTTAAATTTGCGCATTTTATCATTGTGGTTAGGAAAATATTCAATTTTATTAGAAATATGTAAATTTTTTCGGATTGAAATACATTTCCATTGAAACCGCACATTTGAGTATTATACTAATATTTCTGCGTATTTGGGCTAAAAATTTCTGATCTGAACCCATTTGAATTTTTTTCTCGAGATAATCAATGGCATTACCATATTATCTCTGTGTTTATATTGGAATTTTTGGGAAACCTCAGAGTGGAGATTTACTCCCGTTGCTATTTTTCAAATTGCTCTTTTTGAGGCCTCGTTATTTTTACAACTCCTCACAAATAACCAAGTGAATTCGTATACAATTGCTGTCATTTTTTGTTCCTATGCTTCAGCGAGATAAAAAGTATTTACACCGTGAACGTAAGACGTTGGTAAACTCCACTGAAATCTGTCAGATTCAAAGTATTCGGTTATTGTATCCAGCAAAGTCTAAAAACCTAGTTCAAAACTAAGTTCTGTTAAATATGTTGATCGAATCACACCCCCTATATATTTTGCATGTATTTATCTCATCGTTTCTAACTGCGATTCCCTCATTCTTCGCAAAGAAAGTCAATATTTCATAAAGTATTTGTATCCAGTACAAGTTTATCTTATTTCATTCTACCCGAAATGCTACCCTGTCATGTCGTTGCTCGGGCTCTCCAGTAGTATATGTACCAATGCGAAGGTAACTCATTTTGTTCGCCTACTTTACTTTAAGTTGTGTAAAGGGACTGAAATCTATAGGCAGGGGGTATATATTAACTCGAAATATAACTAAAATGTGGAAAACCGGAATAAAATTATGGTCTAACCTTCATCTGATACACACACTACGGGAGTACCATTGCTCGGACTCATTTGAATATAATGAGTTTTTACAATTAATAAATGTACAAATTTTTGAATTATAATAAATGTAACAAAACTTTTCAAAGTGGGCATGATTATAAGCACATTTGCATTTAGTTCGTCAGTTAATCATGAATGATCATGTATATATCAAAGTTTTTATGCATTTTTTTAATTATCCACAAACAATCAACTGAAACTTTTTCATAGTGCGGAATTAATAGTTATCTCATTATACATTCTGTTACCTACCAGTAATAAACGTGTATTGTGCGAAAATTTACCACTCGCAAGCCGCAGCTGCTCTTTCGGAACGACGATCCACGAGCTATAAGCGCGAAACAGGGCAATCGCACCCATCATGCATGAACGCACAGAAGATGCAAGCAGCGAATTCCCCTGGTGTATATTATAATTTATACTGCAGAAAATTTTCAGTGATTTTACTTGCGTATGTATGTAAATATGATGATTTATATGTTTACAATGCCGTTCGAATTTTTCATCTATCAAGTATCGGGCGCAGAAAAACCTTTTACGATTACAATATTCGTTCATAAAGATTATACCTTATGGTAAAATAAAATTTAATTAAGTGCAACTTTAAAATACAAGTAAATAAGATAGAACTTAATGTACATGGTGCTCATTTAGCACTTCGTCTTATCACAAAGAGCCAGTTGTCACACGGCGAGTAATCTACCAATAAGTAGAGACGAGAAACATTCATGTGGGCATTCAAAACTTTCAACTTGAATAAGTAATCAGATATTTGCCAGTAGCATTCACTGAGTTAGTTATAGGACAGCAAGAACATATACTATCAGATCGTTGAAATTTGTTTCTTATAGAAAACGCAGGATTTTGCTTGGGACCTTACAAATCAGTACGAAAACTCGGGGAAAGCAATATTTGAAGTGAAATATAATTCACGTTGCATTATTTTTTATTTTTGTTTTGTAATAAAAAAGTCAAAATTCGCCTGATGTCAGAGAAAGTCTTTATCATTCTTACCGCAGTTAAAATATATGTGATTGGATTTGTATGCCAAATTTTCTTGATGACAAATCTTATCAGATGAAACGATGGTTCATTGCGTTTTTAATTCTAAAATTCTGAGTGTAATCTTGTTCTGTCACCAGTAGTTTGGATGAGATACGTTTCAGTTTGAAGTAAAAGATAAGTTAAACGTTTGACAGTTGATACAATACATATTATACCTACTTTGTGCCAAACGAGTAAGTATGCAAAGGATCAGACCAAACAAGACTTTTAAATCTATCAAATCTGCGAAGTGATAGAGTTGACAGGTCAAGTATAGACTAACGATAGCGAAAAATAAATCAAATTCAGGCTAACCACGTTTAATGAAAATCACTCCCACTAAAAATGTTGACAATAATATCCATATGTCTTTTTCAGTTCATTGATTTTTACTTACAAAAATCTTTAGTTTTAATAAAAAAGTCATGACTCCAAATAATTTTAATGAAGATGGAGAGATTTCAATCACTAATCAGGTATTTTGCTACTCTTATTTGAAATTTCTTCTTTTAGTTTAACAAACCATGCTTTAAAGACTCTTGCAAACATAAAATGACTATTTGTAATAAAAAATCTTCCCCTCACTTTTCTATTGTTTTGACGCGACTGTTATCACTGTACCACTAGTAGAACTTCTGTTTCTGTACCATGCAATCTACTGAAATTCCAAAAAGCTTGATATAACTTTATAAAATCTTCCGCATCTTGAAAACGCATTGATATATAAGTGCCTACTACCGTTGGAACTACTCAGATCTTCACGGTTCAACTACTTGAATCATTGCACCCTTGACAAAGTGGCGGAAATGGCTGGGTTAAACTGTGATAACAACATTGTTGGGATTTTTGCGTCGCCATCAGAATTAAGTCCTTCAAATTATACTCATACTGGACTGGATATGCCACACAGTTCTTTGATATATTCCATCCAAAAATGCTTTTTAAATGCAGGTTGCCAATAATCCTAATGTGGATTCTACTTCAAGTGTTCAAAATGCAAGCCTCGGTATATCTGGAAATGCTGGTGGCGTCAATAGTACAGAAACAAATGAACAATCACCCATACTTCCACTCCGACTTGACCTTGTGAAATCCCTTTCCGGTGTTTTCGGCGGAATCACAGAAGGTGAAGATTCAAAATTACACACGGCTGCAAGGAGGGGCGATGCTGAGGAGGTGTGAGAACATGGAGTTCTGTTTTTAGATACGAATTGCAATAATTAATGATTACTTGCTAAAGATAGAGTATCCAAAGTATCAGATTGCAATACTCATATACATCCATATACAGACCAATTTCCACACATTGACGATTACTATGAGAGGATATTTTATCTTATAGTAAGGAAGTTTCAAGAAAATTCTTACTTTTACTGATACTGGTCGTATGAGACTAAAATGCTGTAGTATGGATGTAGTATTTTTTACTTTGTTTGAAAACTTATTTCTTCAGCATTTTCAAACTAACATCTTACCAGAGGCGATTTGATAAAATCATAGTGTATCATATTTATAACATATTCAAGTCTTTCTACCTTCTTACGTTCTGCGTGATATCAATTTTATATGTATAGTTGAAGAAGTTCATTTAATTTAAACGCATCATATTACAGACACGTCGATTGTTATCTGGTAAACCTATAAAGAAAAGAGACATAGGTAAGTATCTCTTCAAAATCCACTATAATGTTAGGGCTATAGAATTATGATATTGTGTCAGTCATGTTATTGGCATACATAAAATTTGGCTCCATCAGAACCATACTAATTACCGTATATAGCGTATAAGAGACTGTTGGGTACACAACATTCAAGTTACATTGGATTGTTTCATTCATCTATCCTATCAAAACACTCTGTGAGTATTACCCCGAGGGATTTAACTTTTAGATACTATAATTGACTCCTTGCTGTTGGATGTAGAATGTAGATCAATGGTGTATCATTTTGAAAATTTCTCCATCACGTCATATATCGTCCTATTACTCTCTTGTTATAAGTACTTTGTGTGTTTTGAACAAGTACATGATAAACTATGTCATAAAACTATATGCTGTAAAATATTTCTAAATGAAATTAAAAGCATGCTATTGTTTTCAGCTGGACTAAATGTGTTAAAAAAATTTCCCTTTCTTCGCTTTGCTCATGAAAAATATGAAGATGAAGTTACAGATGCTGGTTTGGAAGCTTCAAAAAAATTGCTCAACTGCAGAAATAGACTCGGCGCAACAGCTCTTTGGATTGCAGCTTCGTTAGGGCACACTGAAACAGTTGAAGCATTATGCGAGTGTGGGGCTGAGTAAGTGAAAAAGTATCTTATAACTGAAAGATGCAATCACAAGAGAGAAGGCCACGAGGTCGAGTGAGAACAGATTCTTTGCGCGGTGTTTGATACTGTGTAATTGATCTTGTATATCTGTATACTTTGTGTTACCGCTACAATATCGCATAACAAATGGACACAAGTATATTTCATATCAATGCTTGGCATAATTGTGATAAAACTCCATTAAGTGTTGTGTCAAACTCTTGTTCGCGCTACTTCATTTTTCAGAGTTTCCTATAGCCTTGAATGTTCGTTGATGTTTCGTTAAGCACTCACCATGACGTCGTTGTAGGATATTTTGCATTGTTTTATGCATCGCGTTACTGGTTTAGATAGAAATACTCATTGGCTTGTGAGCAGAAATTTCATGAAAACAAGATGGAATATCCGAATAGCGTCTGCGCTGGAAACGGACAAAACATCTGTAACTATAGTGTACCTTTTACATTTTTTCAAGAACTTCTTATATATACCTTACAAGTACCAATATGTATTTATGGCTTAATACACTGGTCTAGCCACAGAAATCAACCTAAATAAAGTTTCGTCTAAACTCTAAATTACCTGAAATCAACGTATGTTAGCATGTGAAACATAGACAACATGATCTGTCATGTTGGCTAATTATCTAAATTAAGTAATTCTCATGTATTTTAGTTTAGAGATACCCGATATCAAAGGACAGACTCCATTGCTTGCAGCATCAAAATATAATAAAACCGAATGCGTCAGTGTACTTTTAAAAGCAGGTAAGTTTTCAATGTTTTTTTGAAGTACATAGATTATTTTTATTAAATTATATTTTGTTTTCGTGGAATTTATATGTTTTCTATATATATATGCACATCACAAGCATATATTATAATACCGTTATCTTCACTTAAAATATATTTTACTAGGAGCCAACCCTGAGGGTAGCACGGAAAATATATGCTCGCCAATTCACATGGCCGCAAGATCTAATTATCCAAACGTTTTACGGTTGTTAATTGAATACGGGGCGGATGTGAACGGAAAATATTCTGATACGGAAGAGAATCGAGGCAATAATCTGTACGTGGGAAGCGTACCTCTATATATGACAATTGGTAAGAAGTATGCTATATAATTTTTGCGTGAAAAAGGACACAAGTAGACTGCTAACTTACGTACATTATTGCACCATCCACGAAAAAAAGAGGACATAGGACAACCTCTCAAAGACGCCGTGCCGCTAATGAGTAATAATAAAATCACAACGCATTTTCATTAGAGAAAAATTGAAATAATTACGTATAATAGATATCGATTTATTAATATTTGGAAGGTGTGAAAACTTTTCTAATACTCCTCTCAGAGTAGATGCATAAAAAACCTTTTTCAACTGATCTTGGCATGCACGACCAAAGGGAATCTTTTGACCTTAGGTTCTGTTTATCTGACTCAATACATTCTACCAATTCTCTATTGGGAATTACCGGTAATTGTTTCTCCCACCATATAAACCAGAATGTATTGCAACAAGTTCACTAGAAACACCTAAAATTAGGATGAAAAACCGGGAAACGGTTTTCTATGGCGCTATGTCCATGTCAAAATAACGAAACTGTCTCTTAATTTCCAGTATATCAGAATTTCGAATGCTTCCGACTTCTTATTTTAAACGGAGCTGAACTTCATGCTGCATCTAATGAAAGAGGATTCGGTAGATCATTAGTTACGGCTGTAATACGTCACCAATGTGACGTTAAATACCTGAAGCTGATTGCATTATGTGGTGGAATACGACATGGTGATAAAAAGGGAATCGATGATGCTATCAATGAATTTCAAAATTACGTTTTTGGTCTTGCGTCAACAAGAAAAGAATGCTTACAATTTTTGGAGCTTTGGAAAGGTGAGCGAAATCCTAAACTTGATTTCCGTTGAATAAAATACATAATATGAGTTTACAACAAAAAAATTAATTCTTTTAAGTTAACACTCACTTCAGAACGATCCTTTGTAAATCTTAAAACACTAAAATACTGTGAAATTGGAACTGAGATATGCATTTCAAGTTTTAATATTTCGATATGTTTTTAACAGCCCAACCAATGTCGCTAGCTCAGTTGTGTCGCATAACAATACGTCGTCAAATGGGACAGCAGAGGCTCAAAAATTTCATCAATATTGATCTTCCAAAGCAAATTCATCGATACGTTTTATTTTCTGGGCATTTAAAGGAATAACAAATAAACATTACATATTTTAGCACATAATATTTTCCACTTTTTTCCTATTTAATTTTCACTGTTGCCAATGTTTTATTTATATTCTGCATAATCGTATAGTACGGCACCAATGAGCACTTGAAAATGTCTCAATATGAGCTAGTATGGATGAGTTGTATTTCGACCTATATTACTAATCTTTTAATATATATACAAATGATTATATTTATGAATAAATATGTTTTTGTATGTATATTGAAATGGGTTTATGCAGAAAGCGATTAGAAAACATGGGTGTCTCGAAAATGTCGTGTCTCGCTCGTCCCACGCCCCACTTGCCCAACGGGTCCCGCTTGCCCCACGTGTTCTACTTGTCCCACTTATCTCTGGAATCTAAGCTTTCGGTGCTATCAAAACGTTTATGACATAAAAATAAAATTGATCATTTCTCGCAATATTGCCTCGTTACAGCGGTTCCATTTGCATTTTTTGGACTGCAGAATGTTCTTAAGATTGTATGAAAACTATATGCTACTTTGCAGTTTGTGCCTGACATACCAATAAGACAGGATGTAGCAGTATTAACGCTGTTGAGAGCCAGACGAAAAAAAACAATTCACTAGAACTGGAATTTCATTCCAAACTATTTGCAAACCCTGAAAAATTTTCTTTACAATTATAAATGTTTTTGGTATGTCATATACATGCGAAATTCGTGTTTTTGCGCATGAATTTCACAAAATCGAGCACCGTAAAACGCGCTCAAAGCTCTATACTGCCAACCAGGGATTGGTTACTAGACAATGATGAAAAATGATGAAAACAAGTTTCTCATTGATGCAGATATTGATGAATATCTATGACCCACCGTCCTTTTTTTAATTATAAAAGTATGGTTTTTGGCCCAATCATTAAAATAGTTTCGCCATCCCTATGATTACCAAAACAAAGAATGGTTGATCTTTAACCATATTCACGACGTTCGTTTTTCCTATCTGTCTTACTGGCAGTTTTGACTTGATTTTATTTAGATCTCATGTCAATCAGCATCCAGTTTCATCTATGTTGCAAAGAAAAAACTATTTATATATAGTACTACTTTTTGGTTCACAACTTTGTCTAAATGCCAGCCCAGCTCACTCACGTATTGAATAGTCGACACCGCACCCCAGCCTGACCTTAAAAATCTTAGAACTTATTTGGGCGCCTCTGAAGTATGCGTACCAAGGTGGCGGACACCGGAACGTAGTATGTGTATCAGGTTAGGGTTAGGCCATAATTTTATGTGCAAATACTACGGGGGTCACTTGGCTAGTGCCGAACTCGTAATAGAACTAAAATAAAGAAAATTGGAATAAAATTATGGGCTATACTACGTTCCGGTGTCCGCCATCTTGGTGCGCATACTTCAAGAGCGCCCAAATAAGTTTCGTAGAATTTTAGTAGCGATTCTCTAAATCTATTTGCTCACGCTTATCATCTCACAATTCCCATGTTATCGACGAATAAAATATATTCAATATAATTACATTTTGGAGTTATATTTTGGTTGCATATACAAACAATTTTTGTATATATATAATAGACGTCGAAATGCATCTTCAAGAAAGGACTTTGTCGACATCGTTTCATAGTTCCTGATGAAATTCAATGTCAAATCCAGGTTTACGCTCACCTTCTGTGACGTGCTGTAAAGAAAAATATCACGAAATCTATTTTAAATTTTGATATATTCAAAACGGAACTGCCAACACGATGATTTAAAAGTAAAAACGTAACATTAAGAAATTTTGAATATATACACATAAATAATATAAATATTGGGGTTTTTTTCAAATAAAATGAAAACATTTTCTTTCATCCTGATCAGACGAGTATACGAAATAAATCGGATTGAGAAAAAGTACGTTTACATTACACAGACTCAAAAAGGGAAGAAACATAAACTTACGACTTCGGCATGAAATTCGTTGTTTCCGTGTTTCTAAAGAATATTGAATGGTATATATGTGATAAATAAACTGATATTGTATTGTACTCTGAGTAATGAGTAACGAAATTGATAAAAAAAATTAATGATTATCCTCGACATATTATTTCTTCTATATTGTCTGAATCATAATAATCCATTCATTTATGTATTTATGAATAGCTGGAAAACGTAATTTCTTTCACACTTTGCCTGATGTAGAACGAATGGTCAGTGGAATACAATAATAATAAAGAAAAGCTCCAGCAAATGTTATACAGTTGTGTATAAATGATATCTATTTTATCTGTACTTTACTACAAATACTCACTTTATGAAATCCGACATGAGCTGATACTGGTCCTCCTGGGGGAGAATTCTGTAGGATATGATAAAAGGCATTACAATTGTGATCTTCAACGCTGTAAAAATGCTTAGATGGAAAATGCTCCAATCGCAATCCACTGTGGTAATATATCAGAAGATAGTATTCAGGAATTTCCATATAACTTCTAGTTAATATGTGAAAGTAATAGTAATATATAAACAAATCTTACCGCTCCTCCGTACCATCCGTTTGGCTTCTGTTCTTTTTTGGGCTGAAAAAAGAGTATTTAAATATATATATCCAATTATAACCGTTTCAGTCATCTCATTGAGACGGAATATCGATTCTAATATATATATATAATAAAATTAACACACCTGTGGAAGATTCATACATCCGAACTGAAAAAAGAATAAGGAGAATATTTAGTTAGAAGTATTTGCTGAAGAATGAAAAAAGTGGTGTACATTCATTTATACACCCTTAGGTTTTAGTGAATTATGTTTTCCTCACACTCTCTCTCTTTCTCTTGAGATTAGTTGAAATTTCATTAGATACGATTTTAAAACAAAAATAACAAACTTACCCCTCCGCCGCCACCACCTCTAGTTGGCATAAAACCAAAACCGTCGACGGTTAAGACCAGAAAACAGATGATAAATATGAGCTTGAACATCGTGCCGTAGATTCGAAATGCGAATCAAGCGGGGCACAATTCCTTAAGTAGGTTCAGTATGGGCGCGGCTTTGGTGAAAAAAAGGAGCCTATTATAGAGAAATTATATCCCTGTTACGGCCATGAATTCTACACGTGCAAGTTTCGCGCCAAATTAAGATTACGTAAGAAGTTATACGCTGGGAAAGAAGAGGTGAAGCCCCGTGTGATATTGTGTGGGACCCAATTCGATGTCGCAATCCATTTAGGCGTTCAACGAAAAATATTTCGAAAATAAGACCACAGGAATTTATCTCGTAATAAGATCCTTAACTTGGTACTATACTATACGATTATTTATTGATTAGGATTAAGTGTATTATGTGAATCGTTTTGTTAAATTGTTGTTGTTGATAAAGTTTCGAATTTCGAATGGTTGGATAAACTAAAGGTCTATTACTTTACTTTTTTCAAAATTCTAAATCTCATAAAACCCGATATTTTAAACAAATTTTGCCGTTTCATTTCAAATTGTATAAGAACACTTTCTTCTGTCACGCTTGAGCGACCCCGTCGACTTTTTCGGCAAACTCGGGTCGCAGCCTTACTGTACCGGTACCTTCATGTCCATAGATTTGAGAATCTTCTGTTTATAAAATAACGCAATATTGTTGATATATATGACACGGCGACAAACAATTGAAAGCCATCAATTTAGTTTCGTCGTCTATGAACTATTTAATATGTATTTTACAATAGTGTTAAATTTAGGTTCCTTACTTCGGTTCCACACAAGAAAGACAAAGTGCTCTATCTATGGTTGATTAGCTCGCTCAATATATTCGACGTATACGCTAAATCGCGGGATTATCTTGTGACTTTGTCTGTCATTCTTTCTATGAAACTTTCTGTCGGGAAATTAATTTTCTGTTTCTCTGGCGTTTGCGTCTCCTTTATTTCGATGATATAGAATAGATGGTTCCATTACATTTGAACCCACGTACATTTGAACCCATGACAATTGCACCTGTATGCTATTGCACCTATGGAATTTTTTTTGTTTTTCGGATAGTTGAACCCATACTAACCCATGGGTTTTAGCACCCGCATATAGATTAAACCCGTGGATATACACATGGGTTCAAATGTACGTGGGTTCAAATGTACGGTCACCAGAATAGATAATAACTCAAGTGTATAATTTCATTATTGCTGATGAAGATGATTTCTTTGATATAAAAGTTAAAGTTGCCATTGGTCAGGATTTCTCTGACGTATCTGCGATTTAGCTTGCAATTTTCCACCCGAGAAAATCCTTTAATTTCCAAATAGTCGGGATGTAATATATCTGTTTTTGCTTTTATATTTAAAGTCAATTTTAAATTGACATATTTTTAATCCCTCTTCGCTTCAGCCCTGTGAGGCCTAGACGGATTCCAATCAGTGATCTTCGTTTTGTAAATAGATAGTTCAAATAATTAAACGATGAAACAACATTGCTGGGACCAAGTTTCCGTCATTAGTCTCTGACTAAATTTATTATCTTACATCAATTTTGTTTCTCTTAATGGAAACAAACATCTTCGATAATTCTAGTAAGCACAAAGAGCAAATTATTGCTTTTTGGGCGATAAACGTAGAACCAAAAACGTACGTGATCTAAGTTGTATGCAAAACATGCGGTTCAATGGCTGGATGACTCATTTTTTGGCGCCCATTCGAGCCGAACCAGCTACTATTACAGTCTCTATATTCATTGCGTTACTATCTGTTAATATGGTGAAATATTGAAATGAAATTTCATGTACCAAAGTGGATGTTTGTGCAAGCTTTCTGTATACATTTATATATATAGGGTCATATAGCATTCTAGGGTCAAGTCATGATCTAGTTTTAAGGTGAAATGGCCTACCTCATATAATGTGTCATTCCAATTTCTATATAGCCTATTCAACGTAATAAGCCATGTCCACATGCAGTAAGTTCAGTTCTGTAGTTTTTTGTGAAAAACACTCCCAGCTAGAATAAAGCCATACACAATAGCATTCTTGCTGCGACGAAAGTTTGACTCATTTAAACTTATATTCAAATTTTATTCGGTCTGGCTGAATTTTCACGCTTCACGAATTATGTCTAACTTTGATTTCCTGATATGTTTTTTTCAAACCTCCATACTTTGAAACACCTGTCACACGGAGCGGAAACCAATCGCGTTGTTTGTATAGTTGGAACATGATTAAAAATGTAAAACGCGGCGGTAGGGTGCATGATGATCAGGGCCGGATTATGCCCCTTTGGTGCCCTAAGCAC